TGGTACGGTTTAACCGTGGCTAATTTAATAATTATTTTAAAAAAAAATATGGCCACAATATAATGTGGCTATTTTTATAACACGTGCTGATGGTAGATGATTTAACAATGACAATGGATTTGAGCTACAATATGGTGAAAAACAAAACCCATTTATAATGTCATTAATCCAAATCAGGCTACTAGTAATATAGCAGGTAAGCACGTAACAAAATTTTTATAGCACTAGAATAGTAATGAAAATTAATAAATCATTTACAGTGAAAATGACCTCTGCCTCAATAAAGAAAATCCAATATAAAACTTTAGATACTCCATAAACATATAATAAGCTTGCTTAACATTCATCTTCTTGTAATAGTCATATGTTGCATTCCAATTTATGATGAGGGAGTCACATACACTTTCTGCAATTGCAAAGAAACCTTCCCGAGCTCAAACTTCTCTGGAGAAAAAGATGTGGTGAACACACACTACAAAAAAAAGCGGAATTCGGGGACATTCTTTTAACCACATTCAAACTTGATGTCGTAAACCCTTTAAAATTTTCCATTTTTACTACGCATTTAACGAGGCAAATAGATCGTTATAAGAAAAATGACACCTTTTATATACTCCCCCGATAAAATCCCTTCCTTACTCAATCTTATCATTAAAAAATTCCGTCTCTCTGGAATTGGAATTGATCTCACTTTTTCTCTCTACAAACAAAACAAACAATCCTCATTCATTTTCTTATTCCTATTTCTATTTCTATTCCATTTTTCTAAATGCACACATGTGAGGAATTCAAGCTCTTAGCCACTCAATGCATCATCGCCGGTGGCCCCACCCGCAGCCCTCCGCCGCCGCAGGACCCTCCGCATATTCCTCGTTCTCCCCTTCGACGGCCGCGATCTCCATCCCCTTCCCCAATATCCGCTCGAAATCAAGCTCAAGGATCTTTAGATCTCAAGAGTTCTAGAGGGAGAAAGTGCGAGATCTGAATAAACCAAAGGTAACGAAGCTCGAAACCCTACTCTGAGTGCTTCGCAAGCGTTGAAGCTAACTTTCTTCCTTTTCCTTCTCTGTCGATTCATGTCTGGTTCTTTTATTTTGTTTGGACTATAGAGGAAAAAGAACTCTACGTTCTAGGCTCTTCTTCTCTCTGTGTGTTTTGTTCGTTTCCCGTTCTACTAAACCCTAGGTTCAGTTTCTAGGATTTGGAATTGGTGTTTGGTGAAGGTTGAAGGTTAAGGGAAAAAGAATTAGGGTTTTGAATGTATGGCTTCGGGGCCTATAGTTGGTGATGATGGAGTTAGAGAGAAACAAAGATACGCGGAGAGCAAGGTGTACACCAGATAAGCGTTTAAAGGTCTGAAGAACAAAGGTAATACAGTAAACGCCGTGAAAGTCGTTCCTCATTGAGTAGTACTCTCATCCTAGCTGCCATCAATTCATGTGTTTGTTTTTAGAATAGGTCATGGCAAGGAAAGTAACTGAATAACTACTCAACAAGGGATTACGGTTTTGATTACTAGCATTTTTAACTTCCCAAAATGTAGTTTTTACAAATTAGCGATCATTATGGTTCTTTTGTATATGATGTGTGCATTTTATTTACATGTGATGTGATTATCATATTCCAACCCATGTTCCATGTTTAATATTTGTCTAAACAACTAACTTTAAGTAATGTCCATGAAAAATAATAACTCAATGGGAAATGTAACATGCTTTTGAATTTCAGCTGGCTGCAAACAGTGCATGGTTGCAATATCCACCAATAATTCCTAAGCCATGGGATTTTTTGTTATTGGCTCAAATAAGTTGATATAAATTGTGATTTACTTTTCATCATCCTATGTTTAAAAGTATCTCACTCATATTGAACTGTCTGCAAAGTGCATCATGTGGGCCAGAGCCTTTGTCAACCTTTGAGAAAAATGGTGCACGCCATGTACCTGAGGAGCTTAATATTTCCGCTATGCAAATTAGTTAATAGTTCCTTATATTTTCTAGATTATTATGCTCTCAGAACTACCTGAGAGATAAGTTATTAATGATATCAATGGATTTTATTTTATTGATAAAAGGGGTTCCACAAGGGTGGCGGCTTTGTCAACAATCATTATTGAGGAACCAAGAGATCAAGTCTGTCTTCTAGGGGAAGATGTGTGATCTGAGATTGTTATCCTACTTTCCACCTTATATTATTGCTAGGCATTGAGGTCACTAGAAAAGAAGTGTGGGCAAAATAAAATAATTAATTGAAAAATGACCTCTTTGGCATCAGTAGCCACTAGCCCTGCTTAACTCACATGGCTAGATTATAAGCGGATAATCCTTTAGCCCCATCCCTATATCCTCTTTGTCCACCCATAAATGTTTCTATGATAAGTTTTGACTAGGCTTAGCAGGTGAACACATTCCTTCTCCGCAGCATTACAGAAAATAATAGAATCATCTGCATTATTCTGCAAATAGAAGATGTAATATCACTGGATGCCTTCTTTTTACTCTTACAACATATAACTTTCACTGTGACCCCATTTACTGAAATTAACTCTCTCTTTTTTATAATTCGTTTGCTTTTGCTGTGTTCGCGAATCAGCAATTCGCAATAATGGAAATGCATGCTCTGAATGTAAGGATCTTTAATGCAACATACCTCTTTATGTGTTATATGTTATGACCAGTGGTATTAAATACATTGGTTATTCAGTTTTGTATGTGAGAATTGAAGATTTTGATTGCTATGGTTGCTAACAGTTCTTGACTTCAAATGGTTTGCAGGGGATGGCCTTTGATCTTAAAAAGGGGTCAACGCTTTCTATTGATTTGGCAAAATCCAACTCTAGAGCTAAGCGCACAAGGATAAGCTAATCAAACCACACTTATCCAAACAGCATAATATAGAACAAAATTATTCAAAAAATTTGTTTGACGAATAAAATGGGATGAAATGGATTGAGGAGAAAGAGAGAGCTATTACAAATAGTATAAAATATATAAAATAAAAATAAAAATTAATATACTAGGTCAGGCTCTAAGGCCGAGCTTTTGAATTGAAGTCTGATGTCTTTTTATTAAACGAGCTTTTATGCAAATCCAAGCCTAGTTTCAACCTATGAAGCACTGACAATTTAAAAATCCTGACGTGTTGTGTCCGACACTTCCCTACACTCTCTGACACTCCCCGACACTCCAACATGCATTATAGAAATTCAAAAAAAGGTTCAAAGGTTGCATTGCGTTGAGCTTTTAGTTCCAACTATTGGATTCGTTGGATTATGATTACTATTTAATTGAGTTTAATATAAATATTTGAGATATCTTATGTTTCTTTGCAAAATTGATGAATATTATAAGTTTGGTTTCATTTTTTGTGGAATTATTGAATATTAAATATAGGAAAAAGTGTTTGTCATTTTAAATGACATAAAGTTATGTCATTTTAAAAGAGAGATAGACACAGAATAAATTTTTTATTTAAATTTTAAATTAAAAAAAAACCACCCACTTTCTCTCTTCCATGATTTTCATTTTCTGTGTCTATCTCTCTCCTAAAATGTCATAATTTATGTCATTTAAAATGACAAACACCAAGCCCTTAAATATAATATACACTACATAAATTAAAAATAATATTTAAAATCAAAACGTGTCCTAACGTGTCGAAATCTATAATTTTTTAGAATTAACGTGCCGGAGTGTCGTGTCGTATCGTATTGTATCACGTTTCTCGTATCAGTATCAGTGCTACATAGGTTTCAACAACTAATTTTAGACCTGTAAACTCAGGCCTTCACGAGCCGAGTCAAAGGTGTCTGATTCGTTTACCACCCTTAACTATTAGCATCTCTAACCGTTCTGTTAACATTAAAGAGCAAGATATTTATCACAGAAAGATTTGAGTAGAAATAAAGATATATATTAATTCGAAGAGAGAAAAATAATCGGAAAATAGAGTAATAGTTTATTATTGAATAAGATGGTATCTACTCCGTATTATTAGGTTAACCAGAGTTCATATTTGGCTTTGGCCACTTGTTCTGTCGAAAGGGAATATAAAGGAATCAACGGGCAACAAAACTGCGAGGCAAGCAATTCCATAATTGTTGGTATTTTGAGAAACAACCATGAACCACCGACCAACAATTGAGAAAGCATTAGTTATTTACTTCAGCAATAAAAAGAACTGAAGAAATTAAGAAGATTAGAAAGGTAAGTGTTTATCGTTTGGAACAATCAGTACATGTCGCTTCTAAATCTGCATATAAACCTTCACTGCAAAATGTTTATGTTAACTTTGTTAGAAAGTGTTGCATCAGAATGTAAAAAGAATAACTTTGCTTGGGGTTTTAAGTGTGGCTTCATCATGTATGTGAATGAGTTACAAAATTGTTTCATGGGGCAAGACTTTCACTTCTACCTCAAGTGCCTTTGCATTTAAAATCGCATCTTTGAGTTGGAGCTCTTTGTAGCAAAGGTGATCAAACTTGCTTTTTGCAGGGTTGGCTGTTGGTTTGACTACAAGGATAGTGGAAATTACACTCATATTTTATCCTTCCTTGAGACAAATTATCTTTTCTTCATTTTGAAAAAGAGGGGATAATACAAGCCTGATTTTTACAGAACTATTGTACATTTGGTTACTCTGTAACCATTCTCTCAAACAAGCAACTCTTAAGACGAGTTAGATCATAATCATGTAGCCAATGCCCCACTTGACAAATTTCGCCCGCAACTAATTGCTGAGATACCTCTCTAAGCCTCTTCCTGCCATATGGAGCTGGAAGGCCCCCCAAAAAGTGAAGTTGTTGGTAGTCATACAGATCAGAGGATTGTAATTGCTGATATAGGTTGGCAATTCCCCATGTTAGGATTCATCAAACTAAATTTAGATGGTGCTGTGTGAGGTAATTATAGGCCTGTTACTTGTGGTGGTGTTATGCATGATGCAAATGGGAAGTGGCTTGGTGGATATGCTTATATATTGAGTGTTTGCAATTCTTTTAGAGCGGAGGTATAGGGTGTGCTCCGTGGGCTTGGAGTGTTGGATATCGTCAAGTAGTTTTGGAAAGTGATTCATCATGTGTTATTACTATGCTCACTAGTATTGCTGCAACAGACTGTGAGGGTCATCTGATCTACAAGCATGGCTTCAAAAAGAATGGACTCTTAGGATACAGCACACCTATAGAGAAGGTAATTCTTGCGCGGATTGGATGATGAATTTCATTATTAACACAAACGGAAATATGTTATAGTTTTTGTGTGATGAGCCCCCCTCCTGGAATCCAATTGCTTTATCTGACTGATCTTGCTACATTGAGCAGACCACATATGTTATTCAGTAATTCTTGTTTCTTTTCTTTTTTCTTTTGCTTGGGCTTGTCTACCAAAAAAGAACTAACATTTTTTTCTAATTAGTATCATATAAATCCAAATGTGAAGACAAAAAAGATTTTAAATATTTATTTAATTATGTTCTTTATTAATACAAAATTTTCAAATTGTTTTTTAAATTTAAATTTCAAATCAAATCTTTATTTTCTTTTTATTTTCAATGATAATTTTTTAGTTTTTTTTTTTTTTAATTTGAATCACAGATCAAATCTTTATTTTTTTTATTTATATTAAAATTATAAATTTTGATTTTAATTTCATATCATATAATATACGATACAACATTGCATCGTCAAATATAACCTCATTTTTTATGTAAGTATTACTGCGTTTGTAGATCGTATCTTATTGTACAATGTATATTGTGTATCGAGTGATACTAATAACTATTACCAGAAACTTGAAGGTGTTGCACCCTATGCTTTAAAATATTTTAATGATGACACAATTGATATAATTAAATTACAAATCCTAACAACCTTATTTGTTGATCAAAAAACAGGATGATTTTTGTTGGGTGGTTACAGCATATCAAAAGATTGTTGAGATTCCAAATCTGAAGATAAGATAAAGCTTGAAGTTGTTGCAGTCAATTGAAGATAAATAGCAGAATCAAAATTTGAAATTAAGAGATAAGGATAAAGTCTAAACAGCATTATCATGGGAGCAAAAGTTTATGAAATTTTTTTACTATATATATACCCATGCTCCAATAGTCTCACAGTGAAGCAGCAAATGAGATCTAAATTTTTAGCCTAAGACTTGTGTTCTTATTAACTTTTTTTACAAGCTTAGGTTTTAAGTGCTTCATCGTCACCTTTTAGCTTTTCTAGAAGTATTAGTAAGGTGGTTCCTTTTAAGTTGATTTTTCTCCGTGTGTGGAGACTTGCTATTGTTGGTAGTAACAATAGGTGTGGGCTTATCGGTAGATAAGTGTAAACTTTGATTTAAAGGGTTGAATCAAAGTAGTGTGCCTCAAGAGTAGATTAGGATCTACTTGTACTTGAGTATTTTGGCTCATTGAAATTAGTGAAGTTTTTTTAAATCCCATTGGATTGAAATCCAAGTGGGTCGTGGTTTTTTACTCCTATTGAGCCTAGGAGATTTTTCCACGTAGAAATTATTGTGTTTTTTTTATTTGTGCGTCATTCTTGTGATTTCCTTTTATTAGCAAAAATTAGAAAATTATATTAAAATTTATATTTGAATAAAAATAAAAAGGAGAGATAGGTGCTACTACTCAATTCAACCCCCCCTTCTTGAGTACCACTGGGACTAACAATTGGTATCAAGAGCGTGGTTCTCTTTATTTTACAGGTAATTCCTGAAGAGTAGATCCAAGAATGGAGTCAATCCGAGAAGGGTACTCAACTCAAAGGCCACCGCTTTTTGAAGGAAAATTCTTCAATTACTGGAAGAATCGAATGGAGATTTTCATAAAAGCCGAGAATTATCAAGTCTGGAATGTAATCGAAAATGGTGATTTTGAAATCACTAAAATGAATGACAAGGGAGACTTGATACCAAAGCCAATCAATGAATATATCGATGAAGACTGGAAAAAATTAGAATTCAACGCTCAAGCCAAAAGACTTCTTCATTGTGGTCTTGGCACACAAGAGTACAATAGAATTATGGGTTGTCGTACAGCAAGGGAGATGTGGAATTTATTGGAAGTTACCCATGAAGGAACAAATGAAGTCAAGCAGTCAAAAATTGATTTGTTGATGCATCAATATGAACTTTTTTCCATGAGCCCCAAAGAAAACATACGGAGCATGATAACACGATTTTCAAATATTGTCAATGAACTTGGTGCATTGGGAAAAATAATCCCAACTGATGAGCAAATTAGAAAAATACTACGCAGTCTACCTCATGAAGATTGGAGACCAAAAGTGATTGCTTTACAGGAGACAAAAGATTTTAAAATATTTACACTTGAGGAGTTGACTGGATCACTAATGACTTATGAGATGCAACTTTTATCTCATAATGAAACACTCAAAAAACACAACGACATTCAGCTCGCACTTAAGGCGGAAAAAAGGGGCAAAATAAAAAATCAATCTCAACGGGAAAAAGGAATAGCTCAAAAGTCAGAACGAGAGGAGGAAGATGAAACAGAAAGCGATGAAGATGAAGATCTCGCTATTCTTGCTCGTCGATTCAAGAAATTTTTCAAGAAATCAAAAGGCGACTCAACAAAGAATCGCTCAGGAAGACAAAAACCTAGGGTTGATGAAAAATGCTTCAAATGTGGAAAATCAGATCACAAAATTAGGGATTGTCCTTTCCTGGAGAATGAATCGAAGAAGGAACAAAACGAGCATACTAGGGAGAAACAAAAATATCAGAGAAGGGATTTCAAGAGAGCTATGGTGGCGGCATGGTCCGATTCAGAATCTGAAGAAGAAAAATCTGATGAAGATGCTCAAGCGAATCTTTGCTTAATGGTGCATAGCGACTCAGAAACTGCTGATGAACCACAAGAGGTAAATCTTAAAATTCTTAAGTCTTCTTTGTGTTCTTTGTCTAAAAAGCATCTTGTTAAGCACATAGAAATTCTGATTGACGAATATGTGGCTATGTGTGATGAGAAAAATGAAATTATTGATGAATATAGTGAATTAACAAAGGACCTGAAAAATGAAATCAAGATTAAAACATGTCTGAATGAAGAAAATAAGAAGCTCAAGTCAGAAATTATTTTGCTAAAAACTAAAATTTTAGATGATGAGAGATCTCTTGAATCACTAAATGAAGAATTAAAAAAATTAATTCTAAACTAAATCATGTAAATACTGAGAATGCTAAGCTGAATTTAGAGAACCAAAGTCTGGCTGCTAAAGAAAATGCCTTGAAAAATGAAACCAGTAATACAAAAGAAGAAATTACTATCGCTGATTGGTTTATTAAGAGTGTGAATAAAAATAAACAAGGCCTGGTATTTTTTGGTGTAGCAAGCAAAAATAAATGGAAACATGTTGATTTGTTTGACAAAAAGATATGTTTACATTGTGGGAGAGTTGGTCATTTTAAGATGGATTGTAGGAAAAGAATTGATGCTTATAGGAAGAACTGCACCTATTCACTTAAGAAACAACGTGAAATCTGTTTTAATTCTAAAATTAAAAATAAAAGGACAATTCAACAGATATGGGTGAGAAAAACAAATGGAGTTAAGCCTGATATCAAGAAAAAGGAACCCAAACAGGTTTGGGTTCCTAAATCTAACCTTTAATTTTCTCTTTTGCAGGCAAAAGTGAGGGGGAACAACCTGTGGTATCTTGATAGTGGTTGTTCTAAACATATGGCTGGAGATAAATCAAGATTTCTCTCACTAATGCCTTTTCAAGGAGGGAATGTGACATTTGGAGATGACAAAAAAGGTGAAATCAAATTGGTAAGGTGAAATCACTGTATTGATAATGTCTTCTTGGTCAAAGGTTTGAAACACAATCTTTTAAGCATTTCTCAATTTTGTGACAAAGGTAATAGAGGAATTTACTGAAAATTGTTTAGTGAGAAAATTAAATTCAAATGAAGTAATTCAAAAGTAAGAAACACTTATCAAGTAGACTTAAATTATATTGCAAGTGTTTCTTTAACTTGTTTAAGTGTTCTAGATGATAGAAGATTAGGACATGCCAGTTTATCTACCTTGAAAAAACTAAGCTCGCTTGATTTAGTTGTTGGCTTACCATCAATTAAGGTTGAAGATAACCAACTGTGTGAAGCTTGTGCAAGAGGTTTCTCAAAGTGACAAGGGTACAATGATTCATCAACAAAAGTACCTCAAAGACCTTCTAAAAAAATATGGGATGGAAGCCTCTAAGCCGCACAAGACTCCAATGGGGATTGGAGATAGATTAAGTGAGGACAAAGAAGGTAAAAGTGTGGATGAAAAAATGTATAGAGGTATGATTGGATCACTTTTATATTTAACAGCTAGTAGGCCTGACATTGTGTTTAGTGTAGGCTTATGTGCACGTTTTCAATCCAATCCCAAAGAATCCCATTTGAAATCTGTTAAACGGATATTAAGATACTTAAAAGGATCTGATAACTTAGGATTATGGTATCCTAGGGGTGCTAATTTTGATCTAGTGGCATATAGTGATGCAGATTTTGCAGGTGACCTTGTTCATAGAAAAAGCACTTCAGGTATGGCTCAATTTCTTGGTCCTTGCTTGGTTACTTGGGGTTCAAAGAAACAGAATACTATTGCATTATCCACTACTGAAGCTGAATATATTTCTGCTGCCCTTTGTTGTGCTCAATTGTTATGGATAAAACAACAGTTAATTGACTTTGGAATAAATGTTGGTTGTATGCCTATCCTTTGTGACAACTCAAGTGCTATAAGTATATCAAAAGATCCAGTGTTGCATTCAAGAACAAAACACATACACATTAGGCATCATTTTTTGAGAGAATGTACAGAAAAATGTTTAATCAAGTTGAATTTTTGTCCCACTGAATTTCAAATAGCAGATATTTTCACTAAGCCGTTAAATAGAGATAGGTTTGAAAAATTGAGACTAGAACTAGGCTTGATTAGTTTTACATAAGGATTTATGTGACCCCCAATATGGATGCTTGAATTAGAACCAAAAATTTGTTGTCCCGTCTGCATACTTATCATCACTTCTATATTTCTTTTTAAAAAAAAGACCCTATTCCACTTTACAAAGACAACATCACCTACACAAGACAAACTCTAGGTCCTTCTGACTATACACCTAGATTTCCATAGCATTTGGTGACTGTGTGGAGCATGATTCAATGGATGTGGTACTGTTATGCATACTCATGAAAAACATGTTAGTTAGGTGACCAAGTTTTGAGTGAAAACACTACTGAGTGAAAAGGTACTTCAAAACTTTTATAATTGATCTGCTTCTTTTTGGTGGAAAAGTGCATTCTGATTTATTGATGACTGTCATTCACTTTTTTTCCCATTACTTTTTCTAATCTCTATTTGACATCATACGAACCATTCATGAGCAGAAAGATAATTCTGCATATTTTTGTTCCATTAGTATTAGCAGAAAACTTACATCATATTGTGAAGAGTATGTCCAGATATATATCCTATTTATCTTTGATCCACATGCCAAGTTGAGGGGGAACAACGAAAAAAAAGGAGGATGAAGAAGAAGAAGAAGGAGAAGATGATTAAAAAAAAAAGAAAAAAGAAGAAGGAGAATAAGATGAACAAAAAAAAAGAAGAAGATGAAGATGATAAAAAAAAAAGGAAGGAGAATAGAAAAAAAAAATTAAGAAGAAGAAGAAGAAGGGGAAGAGGATTAAAAAAAAAGAAGAGAAGAACGAGAAAAAAAAAAGTTATAAAAAAAAAGGGAGAAAGCTTCAACTGTTAATTGTCTCATGGCATAATACAGCATCCAAACAAATGTCATTTTTTTGTTATTCTTTGCAACCTGAGTCATCTTGCCAATAACACTCCCAGCTTCTGACAACTAAGAGAGTTCTTTAATCCTTCCATTTCCTATCATCTTTTCCTTCATGCTTAAATTTTTCATAAACTTTATTCTACTTGCACTTTTCTGGTTAAAAGGATTCCTAGATCATGAATTACAAGTCCATGAAGCATCCTTGAAGGTGAATAAGTTGTGAGTTAAACACTTGAGTGTCTTCTATCATGAATATTGCAAAATACACCATGCCATTGCAAAGTGCTCTGCTGCTTCCCATTTGCTTTACTCTTTCTCATACATCTCTTGCTCCATTATGCCTAATATTTTCCAAAGTTTGATGATGTCAAAAAGGGGGAAACTAAGATGCCTTATTTGAGTTAATTAAGTGTTGGTTACTAGTTGAATTTGTCAACATTATCACTGTTTAATTACTACTGTTTGAATATCTGGTTTTGGATTCGGTATCAATTATTCAACTTGATCACATGACATGCTACATTGTTGTTGCTGTATACAAAACTAGCTCGTTGACTATGAAAATAGGTTGTTATTGCTGAACTTCAATGTTGGATTGATCTGTCAAGCTACTTGGATTTCTAAGGCATCAATTGTTTGTCATCATCAAAAAGGGGGAATTTGTTGCACCCTATGCTTTAAAATATTTTAATGATGACACAATTGATATAATTAAATTACAAATCCTAACAACCTTATTTGTTGATCAAAAAACAGGATGATTTTTGTTGGGTGGTTACAGCATATCAAAAGATTGTTGAGATTCCAAATCTGAAGATAAGATAAAGCTTGAAGTTGTTGCAGTCAATTGAAGATAAATAGCAGAATCAAAATTTGAAATTAAGAGATAAGGATAAAGTCTAAACAGCATTATCATGGGAGCAAAAGTTTATGAAATTTTTTTACTATATATATACCCATGCTCCAATAGTCTCACAGTGAAGCAGCAAATGAGATCTAAATTTTTAGCCTAAGACTTGTGTTCTTTATTAACTTTTTTTACAAGCTTAGGTTTTAAGTGCTTCATCGTCACCTTTTAGCTTTTCTAGAAGTATTAGTAAGGTGGTTCCTTTTAAGTTGATTTTTCTCCGTGTGTGGAGACTTGCTATTGTTGGTAGTAACAATAGGTGTGGGCTTATCGGTGGATAAGTGTAAACTTTGATTTAAAGGGTTGAATCAAAGTAGTGTGCCTCAAGAGTAGATTAGGATCTACTTGTACTTGAGTATTTTGGCTCATTGAAATTAGTGAAGTTTTTTTAAATCCCATTGGATTGAAATCCAAGTGGGTCGTGGTTTTTTACTCCTATTGAGCCTAGGAGATTTTTCCACGTAGAAATTATTGTGTTTTTTTTATTTGTGCATCATTCTTGTGATTTCCTTTTATTAGCAAAAATTAGAAAATTATATTAAAATTTATATTTGAATAAAAATAAAAAGGAGAGATAGGTGCTACTACTCAATTCAACCCCCCTTCTTGAGTACCAGTGGGACTAACAGATTTCAGGCCCCGAAGGAAAAAGAAGAAACGTAATTCGTGCAAGCTCCAGGCAGTAGCATAAGTTGAAGGTGTTAAATGAAAATTTTCGAACAAAATAATTTGTCTTCACAATGTGAGATCAAGCCAAAGTGTAAAACAACCTCGAAGCCTTGATACTATAAAAGCTTTTTTAATACAATTAATTTATATTATCACATCATTCAATAATTTTGACTATTACAAATATACAAGGTTAAATAATTGTAATAATTATATCAACACATAATTAAACGTTAGGGGAAAAAAAGATTTTACATTGATAATTGATTAAAGTTTTTTTTCTTTATATTCTCATTTCTATCGGTAGTTGTATAAAGGTCTTATATTGAACTTTCAACATTAGCCTGAAAAGAGATGTGCAAAATGCTGATTTATTAATTTTTCTACAGACCAGATGTAATACAATGAAAAACTTCTTAAGTACCTATACCTTGAACAAAAATAGGCATGAGTTATGCCTTGAGATCCACCACCCAATTGATTTGTTACACTCCAAAATCTAAGTCATGAACTAAAATCCATTACAAACCCAATGGTTAGTATCTCATTACCCATTCATTTTAAGAGTATCCAAAAGTCACTAAACTGTGACTTTTGTCCCTCGTTAATTACCAAGGCATCCCTATGCACATTGCATACTTGGTAAGTAGCTATCATCTTGTTTTTTTTTTTGTCTGATAAGTAGGTCTCATTGGGTGTTGATGCCTAGAAGATCAATAACCAAACTATGCAATATAGCTGTCTCAATCTCCAATGCCAATTCTTCTTGCTCCTCCTCAAACCTGTTCCATCCAAAGCTCCTATCCATGTCCTTGATACAAACATCATTATTAAGATGGCCTATATCATATTCAAATGATCCATTTACCCATTCCTCAGCTATTCTCAATACCTCCCTCTCAAACTCTTCTTCATTCCTATTTTGGTTTCTACTTCCACGTAGTTCTTCCCTAAAAAAGTCCAACAGAAGTGTATCCAAATAGTCTTTAAAGCTATGTGCTGAACTTGTTGCTTTAACACAATGTAGGAGTTGCTTTGCCCTTTCCTCAACCCAATCTTGTTCTTCACTTTCTTGGACGTCATTATCATCATCATCTTCATATTCTTCATCATAGCCAGAGTTCTCATCCAATGAGAGACATTGGTCTAAATTTGCAAGACTCTCAAATTTCTGAACAGTTTTTATGAACTTTTGTTTTTTCCCTGTTCAAAAGTTAAAGATTATTGATATCCTTGTATCATTATGCTATGTTCCAAAAGAAAATAAAAAGCTCAAGATTTGTCTAATTGGAAGGAAAGAAGGAACTTACTTTCAATATTGGCAAGGCTTTGGTCAAAGGGTGAGAATTCATCTTCTCCAAGCTGAAGAACTGAAACTGGACTCTGTTGTTCATCTTCTTCGCAAGATAAAACTTCCTATTAAGATTACATACAGATTTTTACTCAGTAAAACAATAATCCCAATAAACAGTTTTGTATGAAAATCTAGCAGGTCAATTAAAATCTTACAATAATAATTAGCAAGAGTTTTATAATATTTAGCAATACATATTCATGAATAAAAAAAATGCTTATCTCAGACTAATTCATTATGTCAGCATTAAGGTCACGATTGAATCATGAGAATGATATAAACAAAACTTAAAAATATTGTCTTAACTATAAATTATTAGAACCCGAATCAAATAGTAGTTGCGTTGCAACAGTCCCACCGACAGAAAAAATAAATAAACATTGTCTACAAACATTATTGTGCTTCAGGTTTATTTCCTGGCAAACTCCTTGTTTTGTCTTTATATGGTAATTTGTAAAAGAAATGAATGAATAAATACAAGACACAATTCCCAATAGAATAAATATTAAATTTGTTCAGAAATATACTTTTTGTGTTATTTTTATTCTTTAAAAAATATTTATATAAATTAATTTTGAAAATAAAAATTTATTCATAAGTGAGTAACTTCTATAAGATAAATTTATTAAGAATTTATAATTTTAAAAAATCAAAATTTACATAATATATTTACACACTATTTTTGGAAGATGCATCAATTGCTCTCACCTTGGTCGCCGCCGCCGCCGCGTACTCCGCCGTCGGTACCGCCGAGTCCTTGCCGACAACAAGTGGTGAAAACGAAAAAAATTTACCCGCTTTGACGTTGTCGTTTTGTGCTTCCAAGGTAAAGGTAAGAAAATCACTGTCACTCCAGCTAGAGTCACTGCTACTGCAAGTGGTGGAAGAGGTGGTGGTGGTGGTGGTGGACCCCGTCGTGCAGTTGTGAAAATCCAACTGCGGTAGTGGTGGTGGCGGAAGAGAAGGTTGGTGTTGGTGGTGCTCTTCCGCCAGGTCCCGGAACGATTTCCACCGTATGATGTCCTTGATCTTAACGGTGCTGATTTTGATTTCACTACCTTCTTTACATGCATGGCTTCTTCTTTTCCTTGATATTCTTGATGACGATGATAGCTTCCGTGAGAGGCTCCGTGGTAGAAAAAGCATAGAGGGTGGTGATTTTCTCACCCTGGTGAAGAAAGAGAAGCTCCTAATGGTGTTCATCACTGTTTGGAAGGTTGAGTTTGATGATGATGATGAGTTGCAAGACTTGAGTTCCATTTCTATGAGCCTCTTCATGCTGTTGTTGTTATTTGGTTTTCTTGGAAATGATTTGAACCCACTTGAGGAACAAGAGTTTGAATTCTCGTTCAGGAAATCCTTCAGCATTCTGGGCCTGCGTTCCATTGAGTCAAACCTTCTTTGTTGTTGCACCTGCACACTCATGTTGAGAAAAAGGGAATAATAGTAATAACTAGTAATAACACAATGAGAGAAAATGGAAATAATGGGGTTGTTGAAGAAGAAGAGTATGAGAGTGAGGGGACAGTGTGAAATATTTATATACATAAAAGGGTAAGTGAAGGAGAAGAAGGAGAGAGGTAGGTTCTAGGTGGAGATCTCTATAATCCATCTGGGTAATATTATAGGTATATAGGTACTTTTCATGCAGGTGAATTCTGGAAGAGGCCGAAAAGTATTAGAATAATGGGGTTTTGAAGGTGGAAGAAATATCTGGATCGATCAATTGGTAAGGATGGTATTTTTTTTTTAGCACAAGGTAAGGATGATTTTAACTTAAGAGTATTGAGTAATTAACTGTATTAAAAATTTAGTAGAGAAGTCATTGGGATTAGTCTAGGGTATTAAAAAAAATTAGTAGAAAAAACTTTAGAAGAAGGATATTGTAACAATCAATTAGTGTTACTACCAATGTTACTATCAATCAATTTTACCGTTAGATCGATTATGTTGATCAAACGGTTATATTTATTTCCATCTTTGTATGGTTATGATTTCTCATATTTAATACTTTATATTTATTTTTACCTTTGTATGATTATGATTTTTCATATTTAATATTTTCACATTAAATATGTGAAATCATAACATACAAAGATGAAAATAAAAATAATCTTGGATCAACGTAATCGACCTAACGGTGAAATTGATTGATAGCAACACTAATTGATTTTTATAATATTTTACCGCAAATACTTATTATCTCTATCTCTTTTTGTTTATAACTTTTTATAATAAAATTTTAATAGTCAAGTTTTGTTAATTTAATGATTATAATTTATTAATAATTAATAATTAATTAATAAATATGATTTGATAAATTATAACTGTCAAATTTATAGAAATTAATAATTAAAATTTAAATTATAAGAGATTATAAATGAAAAGATATTGTAAATATAACTTCTTAGAAAAAAATTTATCATCTTACGTGGGTCGACCAAATTAATTAGTTAACTGAGTAACCGGCGGAAAAATCTAAAATAAAAAAGTGAAAGAGACAAAAAAAAATGTAGAAGCGTGGATGGTTCTGTATGATTAATTTTGAGGGCTAATATTTTTATGTGTTAGGCGTGAGATAGTGACAGTTGGAAGCATGTCGTTTAGTAGACAAATGAGTTGACTCAAATGGATGTGGGCCATGTCTTGTCTGATACGCTCTTCATCACATGCAGAAACGGCGAGATATATCATATATCAAGTGAACACTCGTGTAGTACTACGGCTATGCCCTTGTCTTGCACATAGTATGATAGGGGACACTGATAATTTTTAATTTTTTTGTCCTTATGTAGGAAATAGCTTGGAACGGGACCATGAATGTATCTTTGCTTGAAACTAACATAAAGGTAACATTTTTCATATGACATTAATAATAATTTAACTCACAATATAAATAAAGCAAGTACTGAATATTTGATTAGAGTAATGATAGTGTTATTAGAAGTTTAACACAAATGCGAGTCCTTAAAATAAAAGAGAGAGAGAGAGTGAAGCCAAACGTACATAAGCTTTGTATGACTTGTGAACATAATGCATTATGGGTCTTGGCTAGGCTAAATAAAGCCTGGCAATTAAATTTACATCTGAAATAAAATACTCAATTAGGTGATATTATTTACTCTCTTTTTTCTTTCTTTATCCACACTTTCTTATAGTTATTTCTAATTAAGTAGTTAATATTTTGCTTAATTACTCATAAATAATTTCTATTTTCAAGTCAAACTTTCGTTTATTATACTAAAATCAAGTTAAGTCTTAGAAGCTTGGGCTTAACTTTGGGGTCCAACAAAAGTTAATTTTTTTTTTTTTCCATTTCCAGTACTGTTAAGAAAAGATTGGGTTGAACTTGAAGACATGATCAGCTAATATATATGTAGTTCTAAGGATCTCAATGGTCTGCAGTTGAAGAAAATCTACCCCCTATATAAATTATGAAATGACTACATATACTTTTTTCTACCGAATTCAAATTTAATCCACTTAATGTGTTAAGTTCATTCCAAGTTATTATTCTTCTGTGAAAGAACTCATACAGAAGCAAAATAAAGATGATCTTAAAGTCTATAACTATAGATCTAAGCCCCCAAAAAAATTTAATGGACGAGTCATTCAGAAAATGAATTACTATTTCAGCATCACCTTCTCAAAATAATAGACTCTAGAATCAAAGTAAAATGAAGTCTTAAGACGAGCAAAAGCTTTGGCTTCCACAAAGGAAGACATTCTTTAGTTGTCTATAAAACACTCACTTCTATATATTCATGCTTAAAATAGCTGTGTGAATGTTTTCTGATGCAGTATTTTACTTTCTGGTTTAAATTCGAATCTGTTATAGGGGAGCTTAAGTTTACATGAGACAATTCATCTCTACCCAGAATTTTGCCAAAAGAAGTTGTTAGTGGGGACCTGATTCAACCCCCTTCTCATGGTTTCTTTCATCATCAAAATGAAGGTAAGGGAAATCGAGTGAAGCAACAAGGTAAACTTACTCTAGCTTTAGAAAACAACACTAATTGGCTTTGCATTGGTATAAATCAGATCTCCATTTCATTGAGTGAGCTGAGGAGGGAAATGTAAGTAGTGAAATGTACAGGAAAAGAACCTATAAGCTTGTCAATAATGCATACAACTCTATGCTTTCAAAAATGCTAGATAATCATCAATTATAGACATGGCAGATGATCGGTATCCAGAACCAAAGAGACTATAATGATTTAAATAGTGATATAGCATGTAAAGGTCTCTCCTCTCCTCAAAGCCTGGCTGTTTAGGCATCACCTGGAGAGATCATTTGAAATTATCAACATCAGAAAATTACTGTATGAAACTGATATTTCACATGCCAAGATTGAGTTTCTTAGAAACATGGCTATTAAATCCAGCTATAAAAACTATTTTAACAAGTATATTGGGAAGCCAAACAAATAGTCACATTATTGAGGTAGAATGTTTTCCAAAAACTTCATGAAAAACCATCTTGCCATTTTGATAGATCTTAATTGACACAATGCACATTGGTTGGACCCAGAAGATTCCTGGAGGCATTATTTTTGTCTTTTTTTGTTTCATACAATTTGATCTTATACAAACAAATACAGATTAAAAATAATCACATATCGTGGTGAATTCAAGAAGTTTACAACAGGATCAGATTTTGAGTTGAACTCATAAATGCCAAATGGGGGAAAAGAAACTGCTTATATCAATCAACTTTCAGACCAATGTTTCCTTCAAAATATGTATACTAATATACTTTAACTTGAAATAAACAGAAAAAAGAGAAAGGAACTGAGGAAGGGAGAAAATGTGGGGTTAGATAATTATGTATCCTTTGTACCATATGTAAGATAACAATATTACCTCAAAATAAGAATTATAGAATGATCCTCCAAAGCCAGCACACCAAGACATACCAAACTCCGCCTCACTGTGCCCATCTAAAGAATAAGACAAAGCAAACACCACAACTGTCAGTCCAATTTATCCTTCAAAATCTGTATGATTATTGTAGACTCACATATTCGGGATACCCCCATAACTACTAAAGTTAGAGGACCTAGCTCGCTCCTAATACTTTTAGAGCTGCAACTCAATTGAGCTGTACTTCCCATTCCCATTCCCATTCTTAGCTCAAGAAAGGCCTTTCCAAATGTATTTGATAAAATATCAAATTTTGCTCAAATCTTGAGCCTTGGGCACAGCGGAGAAGGGGCTAAGAAAGCTCACAAGAGACTTTACAACTTCTTTAAAATTTTACTCTTCAAGTTTCAGCATTTTCTGGTAACTATTTTTGCAGACAATTAAATAGTGAGGCCATACTAATCAAAGGTCACCACTAGTAGCCAACAAGTTTCAAACAAGAATTTCCTATTAATTTTCCTTTGTATTTTTGTATGCTGAATCCAGGTATCCTGTAACGCAATTTTCAACTGTTAACCTGGTTATAAACTTTAGTTGCCATACAACAACTTTGTACGGATGCTTGACTTACAATAACATGCTGGGTCCAATATGACAGGCTCTCCATTTTTGTCAGAGCTGATGTTTCCACTCCAGAGGTCTCCATGTAGTAAGCATGGTTCTATCACTACATTGTCAAACAGCGGTCCCATGCTTTTCACCAGTCTCTTTCCTGTTGAACAAGTCAATCAGAAATAAATAGTAGAGTCATTCCGGGAATTTCAGTGCACTCAGAACATCATTAACTAAGTAGTTCTACGATAGATTTGTCAATAATTAATAAAGAATCCAAATTGTAATGAGCAATGATCTTGAACAAATGGCTAGTTTGACAAAGCTAATAAGTACTTGGTTGTACTTAGTTTTCTGATGTAATATTTCTGTGATATATATAACATTTACTTGAGATTTAGATTCTAAATTAAATGGAACATCTAGAGTGTCATAAAAATTTCTTCTGTAAAGGAACTGCATTCTTACTTCCTGTTAAGTCTCAAAGACACTTGTTCTAGGGTTACCACCAAGCGGAATGGTGGGAACAGAGGAATGTCAATATATGAAAGGTCAAAATATATACAAATATCCCCAAGCCTCCTATTCTCTCTATTTCAATGGCCTTAATGTATTCTTCCATGCATCCAATCTCTTTGTGCATTCATGTTCAGTTGACCTGCTCATTTTGTTCACTCTAAATACGCCATATACCAAAATACAATGTATGGCTAAAATTAATTGATGGAAAAAACATTACAGAACAAAATTACCTTTTTCATAAATGGTTCTGTCACCATACTGGTCTAATGCTAGCTTTAACTGGTAACCCAATCTATGCTCTCCATAAAATTGAACCCAATCTGAGGACCAGGTGTTTATTTGTGGAGTGCTACGGTATGATAATGACATAATTCGAAATCAGTTAGTACAAACTACAATAAACCTCCTTTTTAATTGCTTATATACACTGACATCTTCTGTTCTGCTGATATATCCTAACAAGCAGCAAAAGTCTAGGTAAAATGGAAAGAGACATTACAACAACAATAATAAGCTGATAACTTTCATGATGAAGGTGTATTATACCTGCCAATGGTGTTTTCAACATCAAAACCATAGCCTTTACTAGACTTTCCGGCTTTATGCATTTCAGCAAGCTTCCTCCCTAGAACAGACTGGGAAGCAATAAATTACAATTAAGGTACAAAAGTTTTTCTAATTATCAGTAATTTCTAGGTAGCTCACCTGATTGCCTCTAGATGCACCAAATTCTATGAATTCCATAATGATGAAAGAACCACCAGTAGGTAGTGATCCAACCTACAATTCCTAGCAACAAGTTACCTCAAGTTCCCTCCAGCATGCTACAGCCAGCAAATAGCAGATTTCACAACAAAAATGTTAAATATTCTCACCTTATACGGCTTAGGCACACGGATGGTCCCGGTTTCATACATAGCTCCTAAACCAAGTGCTTCTGCTTCAAACATTGATGGTCCGATACTCCTGATATAGTTCAACGGCATAAAACTTGTCATGTATAAGAAGCAAAGGGAATGAAGCTTTTACTCAAAGATGATTGAAACAATACAACACTCAAAATGAAAATATCAACCCCAAAGGGCAGCTCAATCATCAAAAGAAAAACAGCATGATGCATGTGTCATACCTGTTTGTTTTAACAAAGAAAGAACCAGCGTCAGTGTCATAGCGACTAGCAAGATTGATACAACCACCACCAACAGGACTAATTTTGGTTATCTTTGTAGCTTTCCCCTCAGAAAGAATCCACTCACGAACTGGATCCTCACTCATGCTCATGCTGAACACTATTAAAACCTTTATTATCTTTCACCAATATGTATCTCAATGACATGAAATAGCTCAAACAGGATACAAATTTTGCACAAAGTCATAGTACAAGGCTGCCATATAGTCCATTACAATTTGCTAAACTGAGATTTCATTAGTCCCCATACCCTTTTCACAAGAACCAATACAATAAGAGTAAGAACTAAAAAACAACCAGATAACACGTGTAAGATACCGGAACTCAAAAGATTTTTCTACATTACAGCTCCAATTAGCCACAATCTGTCAAAAAATTGCATGTAACAGCGCAATTCAAATCAGTTCACAAATTCTTTTCTCGAAGGAAACAAATCATAATTCATGAGGCACATTTAATCATTGATGGGAAACATCTCAAACCCAAGAAACAACTTGGATTGACCTCTCAAACAAGCAATTCCGTTGCAACCAAAACATATTTGTAACAAGTCACAAATACATAGACTTACTTAAAATTGTACTACATAATGATTGATAGTGTCTCAAAAACCTCGTACTGAGTTCCATGAACTATGGAGCTGAGAGCATGAAACTAAAATCAATTGATATAACATTCTACATAGTTATAATTACTCTACTTACTCGGTGATAATTTGGTTCTGGTTTTGGTAAAAGAAGGTCGAGGAAGTGAAGGGAAGCAGCTAGAAGAGGACATGACTCCCACGTGTGCGCCCATTATCCCTTCTTCCCTTTACCAACAGAAACCACCAACCACTCGGCTGCTTAGTTCTTTTACCTTCGCAACATGTTATTATTTTGGAAATAAAAAAAAATTAACATTTTGCTTTACTGCAGCCCGTTCACCCGTTGCATCATTTACCGCCTATGTCTCTTGCTAATATTATTTATTATTAAATATATATATATATATATATATATATATATATATATATATATATATATATAATAGGTATAATATTATATTCTTAAAATATACATCAAAATATAAAATATTACACTCTACTTAAGAATTTTTGTAAAAGGAGAGGAAATTATAGATAATACATAATTTAAAAAATTTATTTGTTTCAAAAAATTTATATATCCATATATAATTAGAAGAAAGAAATTAGGGGTGTAATAGAGGTTATTGTTGGAAATAATCAAATATGAGTTGTAAAGAAATATCACATAGACTAGACATAGACCAAATGATGACCATGCAAGTGCAAAAGACCCATAAATCTACAGCCTTAAGGTTTTGGGTTGAAATGTGGGGTGGCTCACTTATTGTGGTTTATCATTTGTCTCATTGGTGGATGCACCATTTGCAAAAGGTTTTGGGCTCCCTTGTACCATTTCCAACAGTGGTATCAGAGCCAACGATCTGGGTCAAGTGTTTGGAAGGCCTCTGCAGAAGGCTAGTGTGACCCCTAATATTTGAAAGAGAAAAAAGAACGACTTCCGCAGAAGTTGTCCTTAGGGTAAAAATGATATTGGGTCTCACACTTGAGGGAAGATATTGAAAATAATCAAGTATGAGTTGTAAAGAAGTACCACATAGACTAGACATAGACCAAGTGATGACCATATAAGTGAAAAGATCCATAAACCTACAGTTTTAAGGTTTTGGGTTGAAATGTGATTTCGGCTCGCTTATTGTGGTTTATCATTTGTTTCATTGGTGGATGTACCCGCAAAGGGTTTTGGGCTCCCTTGTACCATTCCCAACAGTTATGACACGTGGGTCGACCCGCGACATGACACGAAAATTCGTTGACCCGCAAAAAAAATCGTGTCGTGTTTGTGTTGATGTATTCGTGTTCGTATTGATCCATATTTTTTTAATTTATTATTATTATTATATTTTTAATTTTGACCCATTTTTTTAATCTTTTTTGTCAATTACCATTTTGACCCTATTTTGCGTATTATTCATGTTGTGTTAGTGTTGTAAATTTTGATACGAAAAAAATTTGTGTCGTGTTCGTATTAATGTATTCACGTCGTGTCAAATTTGTGTCGTGTCAAATGCATGTCGTGTCAACCTGTCTTGACACCCTTAAGAGAAACTACTAGATGACAAAAATATTATATTTCTATTTTAAACCCTATGAACCAAAAAAATTTCACACTTAACAGGTTAAAAACAATAATAATAAAAAAATAAAATAATAATAATATATATCCTTAATAACTAATATATACTAAAGTTTGAAATTGAAGGAGACGGGTAAGCCCATCTTATTTCTCTCCATAGCAGATCTACCCTAATTTTCTCTTGGTCAGCTCCTATATATGTTTATGGGTTTTATCATTGCCATGTTTATGGGAATATAATACGAGGAGGGATATTTTCACTATCAAAATTTTCAACTACCAACTTATTACTTATCTAATCACCATTAACAATTTCTCTCTCTTCAAAAACTTTTTAACATTTTCTATGGTGATGTGATGGATAGTAAGTTAGTATTAAAAAATTTTGGTAGTTAGAATATCCTCACTCACGTAATATTATGTCAATATTTTTTATTATTTTATTTTTAATTTTTTAATTTTTTAATAGTGTCAAATCACAATTTTACAAGACGAGAAAAATAATAAAAATTAGTTAAAATAGTGATTTAATGATATTAGAGAGAAATAGATAAAATAAACATGCATAATATCTTATTCCTATATTATATCCAAATTTTATATTTTTTTTACTTTGCTATATTGCTGTATTAGTACCGTATCGTATTAATATCGTACATATGCACTAAAAGGTTACGATAGTTTTTTATGTTCAAATTCGTTGTTCAATTTTGCCCTGGAGCCTGACGTCTTAGTGAATACTGAGAAAGAATTGGAGGGCATGGTTTTGCCACGTATACCGTAAGAAAGTGGAGCAAATCTTTGGTGTTACCGATGCAGGGACAATGATCATATTATCATTTTTTGGGTAAAAATTTACCTGATTATCACGATTGGAATTTTTTTTGTCAAAATGTCACGTTACAATCTCGCTGGTCTGACAAGCGGAAATGGATTGGACACGTGTCAGCGTCTGAATGGTCAACCATTCTCACTGGGCTGCCCAGCTAGAATGACAGAATGCTGACACGTGACAAAAGTATAGACATCCAGAGAATGTCTGTACTTTTGTCACGTGTCAGCATTTTGTCATTCTAGCTGGGCAGTCCAGCGAGAATAGTTGACCATTCAGATACTGACACGTGTCCAGTTCATTCCCACTTGTCAGATCAGCGAAATTGTGACGTGACATTTTGACAAATTTTTTTTCAAACATGACAATCAAGTAAATTTTTATGAAAAGGGTGGCACAATGGTCAAATGTCCATCGGTCCCAAAAAAGCAAAAAAATTGGAATAGAAATAGAATAAAAATAAAAGTTTAGGTTTAAATGAGAAGAAATTTTACTTCTTTTGAAAAAAAAAATGTATCCAAGTAAGTACATCAGATGTATAGAAAAAAATTCCAAGAAAGTGAAATCTAGGCAAGCTTTTTTTGTGTAGTTGGATGGAACTTGCTTTGTGGTTGAGATTAATGCCTAATCTAATGGAAACGAAAAGGACAAATACTGTTGTATTTTGTGCAATGTTTTCAGAGTTGATAGCATTATTTTTATTTTTATTTAGTAAAAGTTGATAGCATTATTTAGAAAAGTTGCTATTGAAAAATAATTGTACGAGATCACTGTTTAATCTTTAACATATATAGATAATAATTATAATAGTGTGCTTGCTGAACTAAGCTCAGAATCCACTTGGTAAGTAATATAAAAATTCAATCGGTATAATTTAGTTGGCAACACTCAGGCTAGGTTAGTGATGAAAGAATTTCAGTTCGATTGGGAAAGGATAAAGAGCTTTATCTATAATTAAATTTTAACTCTCAAGATTAATTTCATAACCGACTCAAAAAGTTAAAAACCTGAACCTGACATGTAAGCTACCGAATTCATTGTAGTTGTAGGCATGACCTATTTTACACCACAAAGTGAATATGAAGGCCATAAAACAAACAAAGAATTTGAATCCAATCTATTTAGAAGCATTACTTTACAGAAACAGGTCAGGCACACACTAATAACCCCAACCACTCCTTTAGCACTCTTATATATCACTCCCTTGCTTCTGGTTCTCCGGCAGTTAATTGTAAGGAGTTACTAGCAATAGGTTCAACTTGTCTCTCATTAACAGTGTTCCTTTCTGAAGTATTAGACTCATCAAGAGATTGGTTGATGGTAAATGTTACAGGTCTCACATGTTTTGTTTCAGAAGCATTCTGCAGCGGTAAACGGCATACAGGACATGTAGATTGTTTTCTCAACCATGTATCAATGCAAGAAAGATGAAAACTGTGGCCACATTTAGGTATAATGCGCAATAACTCTTTTTCTTTGTACTCTGCCAAACATATCACACACCTGTGAAAGCAAACTGGATTATTTATCAATATATTGACTACTAATTTAGTGAGCTTAGTGAAGGAAAAAATGGGAATGAAAAAAATGGTCGTGAGAAAGCCGTTCCTTTTATAGGGTCCGACGGTATTCGAACCTGACTAGTTTGAAGGATGAATCGTTGAAGAAACTCAAAATAAAAATAAAAATTAGTGAGCTTACTTTCAATTTAGAAAATGCATGTTTTTAATAAGTTCTTATGAATATATAGAGAGAAATTGATAGTAAAAATTTAGCAAAAAAATGTTAAAATCTGCTGTAAAGGAAAATATGAGGAACTTGTTCACTATGACAGAGAGATTAGGGACTAGACTTAACTGTGTACTTTCAATGGAAGAAAAGGCCTCTTGATTGAACTTCAAAGTGGGAATTGCAGCAACAAAAGCAGGTTCAGGGTCACTAACAAGATGTTCTGGCTATCAAGTAAACAATGAAAAAAAATTAAAATATGGAACATCCAACATGAACTAAAATTTTAATTAGTCGAAGTAAATGGTCAGAAACACATTCTGGAACTTGAAAGTGTGTGATATTGATTATAAATAATCCACCACTAATTACCATAAAAAAAGTCTCTACCACAAGGACAATTAGAACAAAATTCATTCATCTTGGCAAGAAAAATAAAATTAAGGGGTAGTAATACTAATTGATACAAAGCACCCATTTCTACATCTGATCAAAGTTTTACACAAGTATTCAAAATTTTCATCATATTTTTCTTCTTTGAAATTGAATGCATATCTGAATGAGTTAGGAGTTAAAACACAACATAAAGTTCCAGCTCTCCTCATTCCTCAAATACTTCAGAACAATAATCTACAAACCATAAGTTCATAAAAAATTAAAGTAAGAGTTTAATCTTGATTCACAGAATATCATGTAATCATGTTAACTAGCAAAAACAACAAATAGGAAAGTGGGGATAGGTGAAATAACAGCTGAAATTACCCGTTCTATATCAGTTCTTGATTCAATCTCATATATAGTCCTTGATCCCACACGCTCTCTTAGTCTTCCACAGATTATTCTTGTGCAGACAAACACAATGAAAGTTGCACTCAATCCAAACCCAATGACTGTAGTAACCAAATTAGTACCTGAACCCATCATATCAAAACTCCCACTTCACCAAACCAATCTTCAAGACACAACCACAAACCCCAGAAGCTAAAACAAACAAGACAAGAGGCACCAAAGCATGACACCCACTTCATAGAAAAAACATGAAAGCAGAGTAGTGCACCAAACGTATCACATAACCCACAAGTTACAAAAGATAAAGGAGATGATAAATAAGGAAAAAAACAAACAAAAAAATAGTAGGGACCCGAATCAGAACACTTAAAAAAGATGTCAAATTTAAAATTTATGGAATCCAAGTGGCTTTGGTATGACTCAAAGTGAAGATGAATGGTGGAGGAAGATAAGAAGAGAGTTGTGGAAGAAAGATGTTCATTCCCTTGCTCCTTGGAATCGTATTCGTGGGGTCCATTTTATGATTTGACCAGCTGACAACGAGGTATCCAAATCCAACGGTTGAGGATAGCTTTCATATTTTTTTATCTTTTCTTGATAGCAAAAGATCTTAACGGTAGAAAACAGAGCATCAAATTTTTAAGGTTGAGAATCCCACAATTCTCAATCTGATTTGGTCTGCTACTCTCTCTCTCTCTCTCTCTCTCTCTCTCTCTCTCTCTCTCGCACTTGGTCTGGCCACTTATGGACAAAGTACAAGAATTGAGGTTTTGTCTATTTTCTTACCCAAAAGCACAAATGATAATAAAATGATGATAGAAAGTTTTGCATTGTTTTCAAGTCAAAGTAGCAGTTAAGTTGTTATTTTCAACTTTAGATAAAATGTAAAAGAATTTTTGGTGTTTGTCGTTTTAAATGATATAAGTTATGTTATTTTAATAGAGAGATAGACACGAGGAATGAAAATCATAGAAGAGAAAATGGTGTGATTTTTTTTTAATTTAAATTTTAAATAAAAAATATTTTCTTATGTCTATCTCTCTCTTAAAATGACATAACTTTATATCATTTAAAATGACAAACATTTTTCTCAATGTAAAAATACAAATTAAAAAAGGGATTTGCATTTGTCATTTAACATGACACAACAAAATTTCCTACACACACAATATTTTGTGGGGCCCACATTTTTTGAAGAAAAAAGAAAAAAAAATTACAGCACGCAAAACGAATCTCTATAACATTACAGAATCACTTTTCCTACGACATAATTCTTATAAAACCCATTAAAAAAAAATTTAGAACAGAAAACATTTGATTCGCGCTGGGACTAAAAGGTTGATAAAAATTATGTGTTGCCTTTACTCCGAAACTATTCTAATGACAGGTTACAACGAATTAAGACCGGGTGCTATCTTGTAAGCAAGTCAATGTATAGAATAACTTATTTGTGAAGTCGAGGAATGCAGCAAGTTATAGCTTTGTCACATTGAAATTTTAATTTCCAAATTACAAGAAGTTACTTTTATTTTTACACTCTCCAAAAGTTTAAGCCCAGTGAAGGTATATTTTAACTCCCTCGAGAATTATTTTTGAACTTTGAAGCGTAAATAATACATAAATCTATTTTTTTAATTTTTTATTATTATCTTGTACTTAAATTCAACATTTTATTGTTCACCAAAAAAAAAAAATCAACATTTTATTAGATGAATAATGACAGTAATAATTAAATTCTAGACCACTTATTTCTAATTTCTAATACCATGTCACTCACTAATTAACTTTTCAAAAAGTTTGAGCTTGAAGGTACATGCATGGTTTTGTTATATTTCCTAAGAAGGGATTACATTACAAACATCAGCAAACTTGCAATGAATAGGTTTCTTACAATTCAGTGGTACTGTTTACTGACAATTTTATTAAGAAGCTAATAAAATGTAATTAATTGACATAGTTAAATACAAGTAGACAAGTAGTATTTAACTATTTCCATTCCATCAACCCTTATGTTGACCAATATGATACAAATGCTATGTGAGTCACTTGACAACGACTAGAAAACAATATGTTAATAAATAACAAAAAGTGAGGCAAGAAATAAAAATACATCACCCAATCAGCCATTACGTGAAGGGAATAAAAATAAAATAAAAAATACTTTGTATAATATTTAACAAAATGACTAGAGTCAAATATATGTATCCACTTCTTCCACCTTTAAATTCCCCAACACGCTAAACTCAATCAAAATGCACTGAAAATTTTAAAACTAGTTTCCTATCATTTTATTTTTTTTAGAAATATTCCAATCGATTCATTACTTCACAACTAGTCCGATTTGAGGCAAGTACAAGATTAAAACTTTAAACCCCTATCAAAAGTGATACTTGATACTGGAGAGATCAGAACTAGTTTCCCATCATGATTATAGCCAATGATGCCTATGGGACTTTTTTATTTTTTATCTACAAGAGAGAGAGTTTTGTTTTTCATCGATCACAATATTCTCATTCTCATTTGGGTGCATTATGGAATTTGAAAGTGTGTTAAATACCAAAACAGTATTCAGCAAACCCATCAGTTCCAAGCTAATTTTAAGTTAAACTAACTCATATTTTCATTCGAGTTCATGGAAAAAAAAATTAATAAACTAACAAATATCATGAACATTGTACAGGTATTCTTTAATGGAAAAAGTATTTCTCCAGTCAGTCACTGGAGATAAAATTATCTCCAGTGATAAAGTTATCTCGAGTAAGCTCAAAACGACGTCGTTTTAGAATTATAAGATTAAAAAATTATAATGATAAAGACTAAAATAACCCTGTAATATATTATAATTACAAAAGCACCTTGATTTCCGTCCCAAAACGACGTCGTTTTGAGCTCACTGAAAATAATTTATCTTCATTGACTGGAGAAATCCTGTACCCTTCTTTAATTCAGGTAAAACAAAAAATATTAATTAAGAAAGAAAAATATTTAGGAGGAGAAATATTTAAAATTACAAAAGCGCTATGCATTATTAATTAAGTAAAATACTAAATGTATAATTGAAAAATAATAAATATTAAAAATTACAAAAAAATGCACAATTAATTTAAGCAATTTGAATTTTAAATTCAAATGAAAAAGAAATTAAGAATAACATGTAATCCTTGGAAAGATAGTATACTAAGATATTTAACTATAATATAGACAGTGAAATCTAATGAAACATATAGGGATGGATTGAACCAACTTCTAAATCTCTTAATACTTTAGTTGGATCTAAAATCACACAGAATCGTTAAGTTATTGACAAATGTATATCAAATCAGCAAAAATCTCTTCCGCATCAGTAAATTAATCGGCGACGTCACCTACCACATTCACAAATAATTGCCATATCATTTTTTTTAATTTAGCACTTGACTAGATCTGATCTAATAATAATTAATAATATTTATTATTATTAAATATCTAATTTAAAACACTTTATTTTTACAAGAATTGTTTGTACAAGATTTTTTTGTATAATTTCATTGCACAAGCCCTGAAATTTCCACATCTAAAGCAGCTAGCAACATGGCATACATCACCAAAATCAAGAGCACGTGAGCAAGTGTTGTTGAATCGTGTAGAGTTCTCATTGTAAACAACAGCAACCTAACAGTAACAGCTTGACTTATTGAATATCCTGTTAACGAAAGGAATTATATTTGCATTTTTCCAATGCAAAGCTCCATGGAAAACAGTTGGTCATTTCATAAAAGTATCTGAATTTGAAAGTGGCTTGCCCATTGAGATAAAGTAATGTATCCCACTCCCACACACAAAAAAGATGACAGCTCCCAAAAGTTGCATACAGAATACGAGCTGGACCAAACCAAAATGAGGTCCATTCTCACTCATGTCAAGATATTTTATTTGCAGACGACATTATTCATAAAAAGTCATCTCTGGAAAATGTCATAGATCTTTTCAACTAATCAAAAAGCATACCGTTTTGTTGGGCTTTAGTAACAAGTTGAAAATTTTGGTTTGCTTAACTAATTTTATTACTAGATATTCTTACTACCAATTTTTTCTACTACCACTCTACTATCACTTTAATCACTATTGGATTCAAAAGTTTTTTTTTCTCTCTCTTCATTCAACTTTGGTGATTAGGGTGGTAGTGAAGTGGTAATAGAAAAAATTAGTAGTAAGAATATCTTAACTCTTTTATTATATCACTTAACACAATTCGTCACACGAAATTCTATTTTTTTTTTATTTTTTTTATTTTTTTGGCAAAAATTGAACGATCGGTCACTTAATCTACGCTCAATACCATGTCAAGCAATCAACTCTTCCAAAAGCTTAAAGCGATAGGAAGGAAAACAAGAATAATTTTATGATATTACTTAACAATGTGATTCTTTTCCTTCACATAAAACACTTTTTCAACGGGTTAAGATATTGAATGGGTTAATTAAGAAAGGGACTATCTTTTTAAACAAATAGTAGATAAGGTCAGAAAATACAACAGCTGATGCTCATGAAGGTCACTTTCCCAAAAAAGTTACTCTCTAATCAATAGCACATTCTAGTGTTGGGTAGCCAGTCATCATAACCTTAGCCCTTTAAGAGCTATTTTTTTTTTTGGTAATTAAAGGGTTAAAAAATAAAAAATAAATAAATAAGGAGATTTCGGCATAAGAGCTATTTTACTTGTAGATATGGAATAAAGGTTTACCTTCATAATTCTGTCATAACCCACCCACCCAGCCTAACCAAACCTAAATACCAACAATAAACAATTTCTCTTCAGATTTCGGCAAAAGCACCCTTAAAATAAGGAGATTACCAAGATGAGGTAGAGATTAATTTGTCAATATGCTGAGAGTAAAAAAGTTAATCCGTTTCCCTAAGCATGGTGATCAGCAACTGATTGACCTACAATACAGAAAGTAATACCTAATAAGAAGATAAGGTTCATTTTCTATTGAGGTTTGTTCTAGGGCTTCAATGAACTAAACAGGAAGGCTATCAGAGCGGGAAAGAAATCTGTAAATGTCCCAAAGCATGAAGCTGATTCATAAACTCATGTACTTACCAAACAGCAGATGCAATGAGGATATGGTGTCATCAGATATATAAAGCCTGTCCCATGTCTGCTTTATTGTACATTCGTTTCAGTTCTCTTTACTGATATATGTAGTTTTCTAGGGATATATAATGTACTCATTGTTATGGGGAAGAAAAAAATGATAACATCAAAAAGGAAATTATGTTGTAAAATCTTTATAATAAGAGAGAGTTCAATCCGTAGAGAACTAGCTTTATCTATAGCATCAATGTGTTATGGAAAGGGGCTACCATGCCGACTCACAAGCTGACTCAGGGGAGTTAGTCAGCTTAAGCTAGCTAAGAGATTCTGGCACAGAAATTTAGTTGTAAGTTGTAACAGACTTTATGAATGTGAATGCATACAAAGATTGCCCTTACCCCACACTCGCTAGTCGATTTTAATATAAGTGGATGAGGGATTTCATGTAAAATAAACTTTCTTCCTTGCTTTTCTCTGGCTCATGGTTCTCTTCCTCTACTCATTTTCCTATGCTTCCTTTTTTTTTCATAATGAATGATATGGCCATTTGTAAATAACATCCATGAGGACGAGTTCAATAATATCCTTTCAGATTTCTAAACACAAATTTGGTAGGTACTATTTTGTTGGGTAGAACTGAATTGAGTTTATCACCTGCCTTAACTTAATAACAATCTCAGTATATCTCCCCTTAGCAAGATATTAATTCCAAATCCTACTACAGCTTCAGCTTTATCCATCATCAGTTTGCAGCTAATAACAGAACACCAAGGCTTGTGAAATATGATTAAATGCAGCATCAAAGTTAAATCTTTGTAAATCTAGTGAAGTGAGCATCTATATACTAATAGCAAAAGGCTTATGGGCAGTAGCAAATTTTGATGTAAAGGTGAGATGAGATCTTATACATAATTTCACAATGAACTCTCCCAGCAAGATCTCAATATCAGATAACGATACAGACGAGCCTCCACAAGTTAAATTTGAGAATCTGACCAACATTAGGGTTATAAAAGTATAAAACCATTAATATAACTTCACCCATTACTTTAAAATTTTGAGTTGAATTGATTCAATAAAAATGTAGACATTACCAAGAAAACCAGTAGACCCTCAATATATATATTAAAGCATTAAAAGTCAATACAAATAAGTATACCATAAAAATAACATACTTGTAATTGTCCGTTTCAGATTTCTACTTGTAATGTACCATTCTGTATAACAATATAGTTTTACTTATTCCCATGAGATCAATGTGTGAGAAGATTCATGTTGAGCTTTTACTCTCATAAGCAATATAATCAGCCTAACGCATTTAATTTATTCCCATATTTAAAACAAAAAAGAAACAACATTTAATTTATTCCCTAAGACACCTTGGTGCAGCACAAGCAAGGAAAGAACAATCACAGGAACTTACACAACAGCAAACAAAGAACATACAAAAGAGAGACAAATACAACAACACAGAAGCCTTAAAGATTCAGAGACATCAATTACTCAAGTGCAGTCCCAGATGGGACACGAATGTCCTTATAGAGACAAACATAAGGTGCATCAGTACCACGGTATTTCCCAGTCCACCTTCCCTCATCAATGTAGCTAGCATCCCAAACAGAAGCATACAAAAACATAGGCTTCTGAGGGAACCCTTCACTCTCGTTCCTCTCCTCTCTCCTCACCAATTTCCCATCAATCACCCACTCGATCAAATCAGAACCCCACTTGATAACATACTCGTGGAACCCATCAGAACAATCGAAACCCAGTTGGTGAATCCGTTCCCTGTTCCCAGTTCCAACAGTGTAGAAGTTTGTTTGTACGATGTTCCTGTCATTGCCCAAGAACTCGAAATCGATCTCGTCTTGGGATTTGTCACCTTCGAGGGAGGAGAGGTAGATGTTGAAGTTGAGGCCGCTTGTGTTGCCCTTGGGGCACTGGATGAGGGTGCTGAAGGTGCCGTAGAGGAAGCGGGTGGTGGTGCGCCACCGTGCGCCGCCGCGGTGGTCGTAGGTGAGGGTGATGGTGTTGGAGTGTGGGCAGTGAGAACAGGCTTCTGGGGTGTAGTCGATGGCTATCTCCTTCAAGGGTTGTGTCTCGTGGTGGTGAGGGTTGGTCTCTGGGTGAAGCACTGGATCTGCCATTGAAGCGTAACAGCAATGAAAAGTTGCAAAAACACAGAGTGGCAAGTGTTGTTCCACAATGGAGACATTCATCGGATTCAGAGCCCACGTGGGGGTGTTGTTTAATGAGTTGGTGACCGTCGATCTTCAATAATTTTTCTGATTATCTACTAAAATAAATATTTTTTCTGATTACTTGTACTTTTTTTTTCTTAACCAGTTTATTGATTAATTAATTAATCAGATACAGGATGATTATGAGTATCACAAATTTCTTCTTATAAAACTTAAATTCGAGATCACATTGGAATATTGTGTTTGATGATGATATCAAATTTGACGTACTTCTTACCAAATTTTTAATATAATTAGAAAAGGAGATAATCAATGATTAAATTAAGACTACGAATTTGATCACATATCGGACGGTTTTCATAAATATTTATAAATTTTATTGTAACATTTTTATTAGTTATTAGCTATGAAACACCGACACTTCAAAAAGTGTCGTGTCTGACACTTCTCGACACTCTCAGACACTCTGACACTTCCCAACACGCGTTATAGAAATTCAAAAAAAGGTTCAAAGGTTGATTTGCGTTGAGTTTTTAGCTCCAACTATTAGATTTGTTGGATTACAATTATCATTTTATTGAGTTTAATATAAATATTTGAGATATGTTATGTTTCTTTGTAAAATTTATGAATATTATAAGTTTAGATTCATTTTTTGTTAAATTATTGAATATTAAATATAATATACACTACATAAACTAAAAATATTATTTAATATCAAAATGTGTCCTAACGTGTCGAAATCTAACATTTTTTAGAATTAAACGTGTCGGTCGTGTCACGTGTCTCGTGTCGTTATCGGTGCTAGATAGGTTATTAGAACACTTTTTAAATGTTTATGACTTGAGGTATAAACATAAAATTTTTATATAAAAATATATGAATTCTAAGATGGATATGATCTCTGGATCTTACAGTTGTTGCTAAAATGAAATTATGATCTGGACTCACTCTTGAGCAATGTATAATTAGAATATTCGGAGAATATCCCATGTTATGTGTTTTGATTTAAATCAGTGAAACAATCCAAAGTGTGTTTTTAAGTCACGTCCGAAAAATGAATGGTTATTATTTTTTATTTTAACATATTTTCTTTCTTATATCACCGTTTGATTTATCTATAAATAATCAAAATTCTTTTAATGAAAATTAAACACATAACCTAATATAAATTATCCAAAACTCGCATCACTAAAACAATTATAGTGACTTATAATCAAATTATTGAGAAAGATCAATTTATAAATTATTTTTATAAATTTTTGCAAATTATACTATGTGATTTTATGGATAAGCTTTTAAAAAATTGACTTTTTATGCATTGCTTTTTTTAAAATAGCTTTTTCTAAAAGGTAAAATTATTTTACGTTTGGATGTATGATCTGAAAATCACATTTACATAAAAAAGTTGTTTGGATGTTAAAAAAAAAAAAAAAAAGTAAAGACCCTTTTTGGTCCCTGGCAATATCTACGAAATCCTTTTTAGTCTCTGACAATAAAAAAGGACCAAATTGGTCCCTAAAAGTATGTAAAAAGGGTCACGTTAGTGACGGAGGAGTTGACATAAGGACTAACGTGGCTCTTTTTTCATAATTTTATGGACCAATTTGGTCCTTTTTTATTGTTAGGGACTAAAAAGGATTTCGTAGATATTGTCAGGGACCAAAAAGGGTGTTTACTAAAAAAAAACACTTTTTATATATAAAATTACAATAAAGGAGGGATAAAATAACATGATCGTAGAATAAGAAGAGATAAAGTAGGTATGATAGGATAAGGTTAAAATTGTATTTTAAAAATTTATATTATCTTTTTTCCAAAAAAAAAATTATATATTATCTTTTAATTTCTGCTTTTTTCAAAAGCAACCAACTACTAGTTATAAAAAAAAACAGCATTTTAACTTTTATTTTAAATTTTGCACTTTTAAAAAGATATTATCCAAACATCTAAAATTTCTCAAAAGGACTTTCATTTAAAAAAAACAACTTTTTTAAGAATAAAAGATCATCCAAATGGGCACTATGTACTCCGGAAATACATAGTGTAACCTAGTATACTTCTAGAAATACATAGTGTAGTTTGTAAATAAAAAATTTATAAATATACCTTTCCCCTAACTTTTTTTTGCATAACATATACCCGTGAGTAGGGGTGTTAACGGGCCGAGCTTTGGTCTTAAAAGACTAAGCTTGTGTTTAAATGTGTCAACCTGATCAAGCTTGTTACCTGTTATAAACATAACTATCGACTTGTGGCCTGAATTATTTACAAAAAATAAAAGCCTTGTTTAGCATGTTTAAAAAAAATAAGACAACACAAATTTATCCAAACAGAATATATAATCAACAACACTAATAATTTCATAAATTCGATTTATATCCAAACAACATAATATAGAACAAAATCATTCAAAAAGTCTGTTTAACCAATAAAATGAGGTGAAATGGATTGATGAGAAAGAGAGGGCTATTACAAGTAGTATAAAAAATATAAAATATAAATAAAAAATAATATACTCGGCCAGCCTGAGAGGCTTTAAGGCCGAGCTTTCGAATTCGAGCCTGATGCCTTTTTATTAAATAAGCTTTTATACAAGTCCAAGCCCGGTGCCAACAATCAATTTTAGACATGTAAGCTCAGGCCTTCACGAGTCGAGCCAATGGCCCCTGGTTTGTTTAGCACCTCTACCCGTGAGTAGGGGTGTAAATAGGCTAGGCTAGGTTAGACTTTGGCTTAAATAGGTCAGACCTGTATAAAAACATTGGGTATGACCTGACCTATTAGCCTGTGTATGCCCCAAATTACAAGTCTCGTCTGACCTGTATTTAAGAAATAAAAGTCTTGGCTAGGTTTGTTAGCCTGTTTAAGCCTATTAAATATTCAACAATTAAAAGAATAACTAAAATAATATTATTTTATTTTCAAAATTATTAAAATAATAATTTTATTTATTATATTTTAAATAAATAATATGATATAGGCCGACCTGTAGACTTATAGGCCCAACATGTATAAAAAAGCCTATAGCCTATTTTCTAAATAAGTTTTTTTAAAAGTCTAGACCTGTTCTATTTTACTATTTATAATATGCTAAGTCTGACCTAATATAGATTAGTCTGTAGGCTCATGTAGGCTGGTTGGATCTGGATCTGGATCCTCTCTCATGTGAAAATTCACATGACCATGTCATGTGGTGAATCAGAACCATACAAAGGTGAATCAATGGTAATAAAGGAGGAGAGAGAAAAAATGTTAAAATAGATAGTTACGAAGTCATAACCGTGATTTACCTTTATATGGTTGTGATCTACCAACATGATCATATATTGTTTTTTTTCATATAAGAGAATCTATTTTCAGGCCGGTTTAGTCCATTTGCACCTCTACCTGTAACAGAATTTATTTCCTCGGAAAAAGTTAAAAGAGGTGCCAATTTATCGCTTAGAGGGAAAAAAAACTTTCAAAATTTCAGGCATAGCAGGTAGGCCCAACTTTCAAAGGGCTATTTTAGGTTACTACATTGTTTGCCTGCAATAAAATTGGCTTGCCCAACAACATGCTGGCCTAAATTGACGTACAGCACTAGTAATAGTCAATCTACATAAAACACAGTTTTTTTTTTTTTAATTTTATCAATAAAAGTTCATTCACTACAAAAATTATTAATAAAATAATAAGAATATAAAATTTCATCTCATGTAAAAGTAAAAGCGAAAAAGAAATCATGATATATTCAGGTATTTGCGAGGTGGGTGTAATAATCCTTGCCTCCACCCTCATTTATTTAACGGGTATGTTTAAGATAGCAACGTCTTTATTTATATGGAGGTTATATTTATAACTTCTTTTTCCTTACAACATTTTATCACCACTTTTATAGTTATTGGATTAAAATCAAATTGATGGTTATAAACTGATATTAATTAAATTATTGCACTTTGAGTTTAGCGGGTGAATTAAGATGGCTATTTTGTCACCCATATAAATTGAAAGTAACCGATTGAAAAGTTTTTTCCCGTACTAAGCCACGAGAGCCTTCTATTAAACTATATCCCTTGTACATAACAACCCATTAATCCATATTTCATAGTTGTATTCAACGGCGGAGTCAAAAAAACTAAGGAGTGCAAAATTGCAAGTATCAATATTCTTTGTAAATTATAACTATCTATGTAATCAAAAGATGATAAATGATGATCATAACTAAAGACTTTTCTGAATTTGAAGGAATGCAATAATCGTTTATATAACAAAAAGCAACACAAATCACACTTACAACTAAAATTTTATATAAAGTTTGGAAGGAGTGGCCACTAGGAAGAAATTTATGGTGCACCAGGACTATCGTGGTCCTTCAATTAAAATTTTAACACTTAATTTAAAAAAAATTAATCTTTTTTTTTTCTTTCCTCTCTCGTCAGCTTTTTTTCTCTTTCTCACTCTTTCTCCACCTCACTGAATATTGTATACTCCAGGAACACTAAATATGCTCTCCCTTCTTAGCCCCTCCCTAACTTCATCATTGGTTGTATTGCTAGTTAGTGGTTACTCGAGTTTTTATTTTTTATTTATTAACGAATTAATTGTCTTTGAAAAGTTTTTCATCAATCAAAACGCTTCAAGACCTTATGAATCGAAGAGCTTAGTCATTTAAGTTTTCCTTTTCAGGGGTTGTGTATTGAACTTTTGGAACAAGTCCAAAAGGATTCTGAAAGTGATATCAGTTCATACAGAAATTAGCATTTTAATGAGCGAGGACTTGAGAAGCATAGCATGCAACTCACTCTGAATTCAATCATTAAGAACAAGTCAACTTCATAACTTACCACTTTTCTATCAAAATAATGAGCACACACATTGATATCATCGACTAAGAAGAACATTAGTTTTGCTACCTTACACTCAAAATTGGACAAGACTTTGGAATTTTTGAACGAGTTAACCTTTCAGGGAACATGTTGCAATAGCCATAAAATAATCAGCTCCACGCAACCCCATTTTGAAATCATAGGATTCCCTCCATAAACGGTCCGTTTGTAATCATGCACTTAATATAATCAATCTTAATTTGATGTGAACTCTCCCTCTTAATTATTAATGGTCAGTGAAAACATATCACAAAGTCGAAACGTGTCACGTATCATTCTATATATATAAAATTATCCCAAAAGCCACCTTATTAGTGGACAAATCTTTACCTCCCAAGTAGACAAGAACAAAAGTAGAGGCATCTCAAGGCCGCATTTAGGTGATAAGTCCTAATTCAAATGGACCACGTCTTCAAAAATAAGACAAAATAGCCATCTTAATTCACCCGCTAAACTCAAATTGCAACAAATTAATATTCCATTATTATATCATATAAAAGTTATGATGAAAGCATTAAGGTTAAATGGAAACAGCAGAAAGGACAAGGGTAAGAAGAAGTGGAACCCATAAATCATTCTATCAAGAACTGCTAAATTCCAATACGTCACTAAAAGCTATAAACAAACTTTCTCAATGGATTTTTAAATTTCTTTTTTTGTTTTTGATTTAACGTTTTGAACCCGTTCTTCATTTGTAAGCAGACAAACTTTGACGGCCCTTCTTTTGTATGCTTCTATCTGTATTTTTTGCGAACTTTAGCCACTCTGGCTCGGCTATAACTTAGCCACTTCCAAGCTATTTGTCCATAGCTTCCTGTTAGCTTTTGATAAACTTTCGCAGGACATCACTTTTTTTTTAGTTTGTAAAAATGGTAATTTTTTATTATATTAGTTTAAAATCCAAACATTTTAGCAAAATAATATGGAAAGGGTTATATTTACAAATTTTTTGTTTATAAATTACACTATGTATTTTCAGAAATACACTAGGTTACACTACGTATTTCCGGAAGTACATAGTGTAATTTGTAAAAATTTATAAAAAAGAAATTATAAATAAATCTTTCCCCAAATAATATAATATAAAATATACACATTCAAGTCACATGTGGGAAAAGATATATAAGGATGAGAGGAAAAGGAAAATTAAGTAATGACAATGGTAAAATAGTGAGGGTATTACGGCAGAGTAAGATGGCAACAAACCAAGACTCACCCTACTCTTGGTGTTCATGATTTGCCTTGGAACACCACCTATAACTGCAACATAGACGCAAATTAGACAATCATTTCAAGATTTTTTTTACTTATTTTGTTATTATTGTAGGTAGGATCATTTGATAGCAGTGTCACGTGCTTATAAATCAAACTCGTTAGATCAAGTAAATATTAATGACCTTTACATGAGATGTCATATTTTTTGTTTGATATCAGTGTCAAATGTTCTTATTCCTAAATATTACATTAACAATTTTATTAAATTTGAACATATTCTTAAATATTAAATTCTCAAGTAGACTAAATAATGCTACTAACATATACATGTATAACTTTAGCATGCACGTAAAATTCAACCGGATGTTCAGGTAGCTTAATCTAAGCTAAACACAAAAGTAAAATGCTATAGTATGAATGGTCAACTAAATTCAGACGGAGCTAATTATATAGTTATGCAAAATTACAAATACAAAAATTACAAAGGCATCATTGGCTGATATATCTGTTCTGCGCGAAGATTGCAGGCATCCCATTGTAAATAATTTAGGGTTTGGAATATTTTGTGGCTAGTAGCTATTAACACGGTTCAATTTGGAGTTTAGCAAATATTGAACACGTTACCCTACCAATCCCAAAGAGGAAATGTTGACTCAGTTATATTCTTTAGCTTTAGAATCATCATCAAGCCATAAAATCACAAATTTCATGTACACGGACATCTATAAGGGTTATATTCTTACTAGTACTAACTGTTGGAAATCGACGACACACAAATCGGAAACAGAAAAGAAAAAGAGAGAATAGATACAGTGATTTATCATGGTTCACCCAATATAGGTTGTCTGTACTATATTCACCTCATCGCCACTCGTTACAAGTCTCTCGGATTACAAGGCAAATATAAATAGGATTACAAAACTCTAACAGCGGCTATTCATGGGCCCAAGCCCAAACTGCTAAGAAAAATAATAAAATCAGTTGCCTTTCTGCTGACCCCGATAATTAGAGTCCTCCTCAGCATGCGAAGTATGAGCCATACCCAACACTAACTGCTGGAATTTTCACAAGCCAATTAAACTCATCCAAGCTGCAGGGAGATCAACTTGCAAGTACATCACGCACGCAATATATATATAAATATTAAAATTTTGAAGCTTCAAGAAAGGGACAAACTAATAATGGAGATAGGTATATGCTAAATACCTACTTTCCCTTACACACTCCCAAAACTTATACATGTATATATATACTGCAATATCAGTATCATATATACTCCATCAATGTGTTTTAATTTCTCTAACCAATCATATATACTCTACTAGCTAAACAATAATACTCAACCCACCAAGCCAAAAACAGTTCAGCTTATCAATTCTAAAATCTCATCCTTTTCTCTGAGGTTTTTTTTTTTTTTTTATTCTAGCTAGTTATGGCAGGAACTGAAGCTACAAAATATGCTTCTGCTACGAACAACATGGCAAAATCGAACAAACCCATTATGAGGAGGTTCATTGGGGTGAGGCAAAGGCCTTCAGGAAGGTGGGTGGCTGAGATCAAAGACTCTTCTCAGCATGTGAGGTTATGGCTTGGAACCTATGACACACCAGAAGAAGCTGCTAGAGCTTATGATGAAGCAGCTCGAGCTTTGCGTGGTGAAAATGCCCGAACCAACTTTGCATCATCATCATCGGTGAACCAAACCACAAACCAATCAGGTTCTGTTCCTTCTTCTGATGGGAAACATGGTTTAAGCTTTGCTTCCTTGAAAGCCAAGTTAAGCAAGAATCTTCAGAGCATTATGGCCAGAGCAAGTGACAGCAAGTCCTCAAAGAGTAGAGTGAGTGATCACTTTACCTTTGCTAGCATATTCCATCGTGGGAATTACCAATACCAAATCCCTTCAGTGGATATGAAAAGCATTGAGAAAGTGGTGCAGCCTAGTATTATTGTTCCCCCTGTAGAGGGTGATCACCCTGTTGTTTGGGAAACCTCTAGTGTTTCTGATTGTAGCTCTGAGTGGGTCGGGTTTAGGCAACCCGGTTTGGACTCTGATGGGTCGGATATTGGGGATGTTAGTGTTGGTGATCAAGGGTACTTGGATCAACTAATGGGATGGGTTGATAGCCCTGATTTTTGTGCAAGTGAAGGTTCAAGGAGTAAGAGGTTTAAGGTCTCTTCTTCTGTGCTTGTTCCCCCAACTTTCACTGGGTCTCCTTTTGATTGTGGCTCCCCTTATAGTGGTTATGCCTCTCCTTATAATGGTTGTGGCTCCCCATGTAATGGTTATGCCTCTACATATGATGGTAGGAAATGAAATTGAAAGCATGTGTGCTCATAATCACGGAGGTTTTTGGCTTATTTTGATGGAATTGATGCCCAAAACTTGTTTTGAGCATTTGAACAAACAGTTGGAAGCTTGAGGTTAAGAGAACTTGGCTCTGGGGAATAAGTATTTGATTTATGTCAAGGACAAGAAATTATAATGATGCAAGTTTGGCTGCAAATGAACACTCTTTTTTTATCTGTACTGTTTGGGATGTAAAATGTATAGAAACATAAGCCTAAGTTATAATTGAGTTGAAAAGCTAGAAGTAGCAATATTATTACATGGGGGATATATGAGTCAATATGCATGTAATATAAACTACTTTTTTGGCAATATAATTGAATTAAAATATATTGGCAATTAGTTTTCGGTCAAAAGAAACATGTTAACTACTTTATTTTTCCTTTAACATATTTTTTCCAATACACCTAATTATTGGATGAGTATAAAGCGAGTCTCATTAATTAAAAAGTAAACCCAATTTATTTAATAGGACTAATATGGTATTCACTCAATAATAATAAATAAATTGTATTAAAAAGAACCCTGTTAGCCTATAGGCTTTCTAAATTTTGGGGATAAGTTTGGATCTATTGGTTTGAGGGAATAATATGCATGTTTGCATAAGCTCCAATGTGGAGACTCGACTCCAATCCCTCGAGTTAGTTTTTAATTAGGCATGTGAATTAAAAATACTTTAGCTAGTTAATTAGACACCTATATATGCGTGGAATATGGATGACACAAAGGACTTGCTACTAGGCTGCACCACTTTCTCAGTTGGCTAGATCCGTAAAAGTTGCTAAAATCATTCGGTTGCAACAGTATATAATAAGATGCATAAATAAGTTAACGTAAGTAATCCCTACTCTTCCTTCATGGGTTCCTATGAAAAGATTGTCACATGAGGAACACCAAAAAAAAGAGCGAACTAGTTAGGACGAGAATGGTCTTCTCGCCATAAATGCAAGGCTAAATAGTTGTTGATGATAGGAGATTTAGAAGACACGAGGGGAGGAATTGAGGAAGAAATTTTGTGGAAACCAAAGAACATTGAGAAGAGAAACAACGATTCTGCACCTGCACTCGTTAGAAGGGGACTCAAATCCACAAGGATTGAGGTTCAACACTAAGATCAAAGGAAAAAATATTTCGGTGTTGATCAACTCATGTAGTTCCCACAATTTCATCCAACTTGAATTAGCTAAAAATCTTGGCCTCAATATAAGTCGCATCCCACATATGATCAGGGTATTCTTAGAAAATGGTGTTTTTTTAGTAGCTGATCCTAAAAGCCTAAATGTCAAACTAAATATACAGGGTCATGCTTCTGTTGTAGATTTATGAGTGGTTGAACTTTCTAACCTTGGTATTATCTTGGGCTTATCATGGTTGGGGGGTTAGGTAAAGTGTTGCATGATTATGCTGATTATTCTATGTTTGCATGGCAGAATAAGGTGATAGGGTGAAATGATGAATTAGATGATTAGTTGTGAAAATTATAATAACGAAGTAACATAATTGAAAAATATCAAAAAGCAGAGACAAGATGATTAATTAGTTATGAGTATAATAATGAACATTGAAAATTATCAAAAGAATTAATTGTAAAAACAATAATAAGAAAAAAGATTAGGTGATGGTAGTAACAATATCTCTTGTTTAAAGAAAAAATACATGTAAATAGGTGAAATTTTAGTAAAATTTGGAAGAGAAAACAATTGGAGAGAGTGAGAAATAAATGATGAGAATATAGAGAAAAAAAAGATAGAGAGTGAAGAGTACACTAGAAGATCGGAAGAAGTGCTTAACAAGTAAAAATTTAATCAAGATATCCACACCAATTGATATCTTGACTCTTATTTTGACTCGAAACTGATGTGAGTAAATAGTAGGGACTATACCATGTCCAAACTTTACTTTAATTTGTGCTCCAATTATTTCTAATTTATAGTATATTATACTATTATTTGTCATGCCATGATTTTATACATAAAAAGATCGAGTATTTGATACTTAAATATTTTTAAAGGACGATGTAACATAAAATGGAATTAGGTGGTTGATTTTATTTAATTATTTTTATAACATTCATATTGATTTTGATGATATTTGAGAAAATGATTTGAAAAGATATGATGAACTTTCTGATTTATTTATACTTTTAAAAAAGTAAGTTTTTAAAAGGGTTTACATTATTATTTGATTGATTTAGAAAATATAAATTTTGAAAATGCATTGCATTTTCATTTATTTAAATTGCTTTATATATATTTGACTTGATTTCCATGGTATTGACGAATTTTATGTAAATATGTTACAGATTTGAGAATTGTGGCCATTTTATATATGGTTGAACACTTACAAGGCATTACAATATTAATAAATCGATTTACGAAGCTGTGATATGTATGATTGATTTGCCTTAAGCAATGTATATATTGTACGTTTTTAAAATCAATTTCAGGGGAACAACTCTTACAAAACACTATAAGCTAACACCAGTAGGTGTGCCGTGACTTGTTTATAAGCGGATAGTTTATTATATTGATTTAATATACATGCAGAGAGCTTGACATTGTTATAATTTATTTATTTTCAAGTGATGAGTCTAACATTATGACCACATAATTAATGTTTACATGGTAGAAGCCTGAGATTAATATATTATGGTTCCGTCTCAGTATACCTCTCTTGAAAATATATTATTTTGGTAAATGATGGATTTATGTTTTATAAACTGCTTGTATTTAATTGACACATCTTATTGTTCGTGTGAGCATATTTTTAAATATTGAGTTATTATTAAGGACTACGAAAGTTTTGTGTATTTTTGATTTACAGATGTTTATTATTCATATAAACATGTTGTGTTGTAATCTAGATAGACATATAATATATATTATATATGTGTTATTATTATTAAATATATATTAGCGTTACACAGGCTTATCAAATTATTTGATATTAGCATATTGGGCACTAATCATGAATTGAAATTTTGATTGGTAATATTTCTCAGACTTGAATGTTGTATTTTTTTTTGGTAGATGTTAAGACTTCGGCAAGTGCACCGGTCGTACAAGTAATAAAGTGATAAGAATAAATTGTCGATCCCACGAGAACTAATGACCAAGCAATAATTTATCTATTTAACTAAATTATTGTAATAGGAGTTTCTCGAGAATATTATAATTAAATTAAAAATAAAATTTTTAAACTTATTTTTAGTTTTCAATATTTTAGAAAATAAATTCAGAATTAATAAAGCTAAAAATTGGTTTTAAGTGTTTTTAAAAAAACGTAGCTAGGATTTAACTTCCCCAATGGTTTCTTAACGAGTCTGCTTATTCTTACGATTACATCCAAGATCAAATTATTAACAGTTCTTTCTATGATTGATTAAATCTCAATCCCTTACTAATCTAATCCTTTACTCTAATCAAAAGCACAATCCATTAGTACTTTTTCATAAAATAAGCATTAACGTAAGAACTTACGATTATAGAATTCACAAGTCTATTCCTAGATCATATAAATTCTAGAAATCAATCAATCGGAATTGATACACCAACATTCCTATTGTCATACACGACTCTTATGTTTATCTACGAGTGATCAGTTCATAAATAAAGCTAATCATAAATTAACAGATTGATTGCATAATTTAAAATCAAGAATGTAAATAGTAAGAAAGACATACATCAATTAAGAACCATTGGTTCCATCTCACCCTAACTACTAAAAGAAATTTAGCTATGCATAATTATAAAAACATAATTAAAAGATACTGTAAAATAAATAGGGTTCATGGTAAAACTTGATTAATGGTGATTGGTGAATATCAGTGATGCAGATTTGATCTCTTCCTTCTCCTCTGCAACGCTCAAGTATTCCTCTTCGCTCCTGCCTTCGTCTTCGTCTGAGTGCTCCTTTTCTTTTTGTCTCCGGAAGTTATTTTCAAAGCCTTCATCACGTTGTATTTAAAGAATTAAAATGGGCCTCTGATTCTGGACCAGCTCGCTGAAGCGAGCTGCTCAGCAAGCAATTTTTTCCTCCTCGCTGTTGTGCTCGCTGGAGCGAGCTCACTTATACTTCTCGCTCACTTGCTCGCTAAAGCGAGCAGTGGAGCGAGTGTGACCGAATATTTTTATATTTGTTTAATTTCGTATTTTTCCTTGATATTCAGCCGATGCCAACTGTCTTCTCATCCTTATCAGTTAGTAATTTGTTATTCTAGTATGAAACAACCCGAAACAACAAAAAGGGTTAGATGCCAACGAGTTTGGCTTGACGGGCCCACCCGCACCGCCCGACAAACTGGGCGGAGCGAGCTCGTTTTTTGGTGGGGAGAAGCGAGCCGAGATGGGTCAGTATATAATAGGTTTGGGCCGAGCCGAATCTTTTATCCTACTTTCAAAAGCAAGGCTAAACAAGCTGACTTATTTTTTAACGAGTTAATGACGAAGCGAAATTGGTCGCTCACTTTGACACCTCTAGACATAGCAATAGCACAACTAGGGGTGAAAGTGTGCTGAATTTTGTCTCGAAAAGCCCAAGCCTATGCCAAAATATTTCAAGTGGCCTAGCCTGATAGCATAGTACCACTCTAACTTTTAGCCTGACTTAACCCATTTATAAAAAATACAAATAGCCTGGCCTGATCCATTGGCCTGTTAATTTTTAACTTCCAAGAAGAACCATGAATCAACTTCACAAAATACTTAAAATCTATTGTTAAAACAAAAATCATAATTTCAACATCCAAACAGAACCATGAATCACAATAACAACTCATCATAATCTGCATTTAAGTCACTTTTAGAAGAAAAATGCTCAAACTTAACAACATATATTTCATCAGATCCAACAAACCAATCCGTACTGTATAAATTAAAATAACTATATGAATCCAATTTGCTCTCCATTTCTAAGTTCGTAGCCTTCACAGTAGCTTCATCAATATTACCTACCAAATAAAAGGCACATCATGATACTTGTAGTAGTCAAAAACTTCTTATCATCTTCTCTCCCTTGCAAATACAATTCCAAGGTTACATAAGTTGACAAACAATTTGTAAATGTAGAAAACAAAAAACAAGATTAAAGAATAAAAAAAAAATTAAGAAACAAAAAACTTTTAATACATTCATATAGGCAATTTTACATGCTGAGATGTTGGTTTTTCCTACATAAGAAATAAAGTCAGATTCATATTAAAATTTAATAAAATATAATTAAATTATAAAATAATTTCAATTGATTAAATTTGTGCCTTTTAATTTTTTCTTCAAGCCATACTTATTACGTAGCCAATCTCCTCCAAATATTAAAGCTTGGATGATATCCTCAGCCAAACTAGAACGATAAGCATCAATTACTCTTCCTCCAGCACTAAATGTTGATTGTGATGTTATTGTAGAGATCAGTACGGATCTTATGCCCCTCTCAAAGGTAGTATTGATGGGGATTGAACCTAGGTCCTTCCACCATCTACCTAGCTCACATGCACCAACTGATCTATTACTATTTGATACTACAATGAATAATATTATTTTATATTATTTAAAATAAATAATATAATATGAGTCGGCCTATAGGCCTGACATATAAAAAAAAGCCTACAACTTATTTTTTAAATAGATTTATTTAAAAGTCAATCCTGTTCTATTTAAGTCTCTATAATATATTGAGTCTGACATGATATAGACTAGGTTGTGTAGTCCAACAAATCAGCGCGACTCACTCTCACCCGGAGGCACAACCCTACCTCCAAACACAAGATAGAGAGCAACTGGGTAGAATAGACATTTTATCCAAACGATCCTAATAGTGTCGTTTTGGTTATGTGATGTGATTACTCCCTACTCTCTTTTTCTATCTCGCGATTTGCAAATTTCCTCAATCTCACGCCTAGGGTTTACTAGCAAACCCTCCCTCACCCCGACGAGGTACCAATCCTTCGACGGAGCATCAGATCTGCCTTGGATCCTTCTTCCGTCACCGACGATCCGTCGAATACCCATCTATGTTTCGTTCAATTTCACCTTTTTCGAATCTTAACGGTCATTTTTTCTTTCATTGCAGGTTTTGTGCGAAGGTATCCGTAGCTTCGACTCTGCCGGAAGAAAATGAGGCCCGTCTTTTGTGGAAACCTGGATTTCGACGCTCGCCAATCTGATGTTGAGAGGCTTTTCAGAAGATACGGGAAGGTTGATAGAGTGGACATGAAATCTGGTATGTCATTCTTCTTCATTTGTTTTTTGTTTTTAATTTTTTTAATTTCAGTTTTAATTTTTGAGTTGCTTTTTATTGAGGTTTGGTTTGAGTTTTGTGCTTGAAATGCTGTTTTTTTAGCTAGTCATTTTCTTATTTCGTTGGGTATTCTTGCACATGGCTTGTGCTTTTCATTGATGAGTTCAGTATATTAGGTAGGCAAGCAGTATTTTGGCTCTGTTAATTGCGAACTTGTTATGCTGTGCTGAATTTGGTGGGTGTTCTTTGTTTCGCATGTTATAAGGTAGTTGGATAGATTATATGCCTGGATGGGATATTTCAGAGATACGTTGTGTTGCGAGAAAGCAGATTAACAGGTTGGTGATCGGCAATACATGATGAATGGCAGTGTTTTTGTGGCCGTGTTTGAGGATATGGAAGTGGAGATGAACGTGTGCTCTTGGTTTTGAGTCACATTGGGGTTTTAATACTGTTTGGGAAAGGAAAATGTTATGTACAACCATTGAAAGCAATCATCTTTCAAAGAACTCATTGACCCTTTTTCGATATCGAAGAAAGAAACAAAAGTAGTAGAAAGCCAAAATCCTACATGATAAATGCTTTTTTTCAAAGGAGAGTTTGAATAATAACCTCCTATTTCTGTTTGCCTAAAATTTTATGCACAGGATGAAAAGGGCAAGGACTGAGATTATTATTTTTGTCTTTAAACTTTTAAACTTTCTGTTTTCATCTTGAATGGCAATTGGAGCATGCTTAGCCGCCTGGAATTCTCCATAGCTTCTTCCAGAATTTACAATCCAAGAACTTTCAACTGTGACTTTTGTCCTCAAATGATTCTTAAAAGGGTCGAGATGATGTTCTTTGATTAGCTACTTTTGAATGGCTGTACACTTTCTTTTCCTTTTAAGAGAAGAAAACTGTCATTAAGATATGAACCCCAATACTTAGTAATTTCTTTGTGGCAGGATTACTTGGAAAGTTGGAATGTCCATGCTCTTCTTGGATGGACGTGCTTCTCTGCATTTCTTTTCTAGAATGTGCCCCAGCTTCTCCTTCTTGTATTTTTCCAGAAGAAATAATCTGATCCGCCCTAGCCCTGCCATTCTGCATTCCCTCAGCATTCATTGCTTTTTCATTCCTCATGACTTTTGCTCAGTGTTCAATTTCCGACATGTTACAACATAGAAACCATGATGATTTCGCAACTGTGGCAGGTGTTGTGGTACTTCTTGACAGTTTTATTTTGTGTTTTCTGTTGAATTTTTCTCACATCTGAAAAGTTGATGCGGCCTTCCTCTCTAAATCATCTTTATCAAAAGAGTCTTCAAATGTTTACTTCGAATATTTCTGTGCTATTTTATGTTTAACATTCTTGTTTCATAGGATTTGCTTTTGTCTACATGGAAGACGAACGTGATGCTGAGTATGCAATCAGAAGACTTGATAGAACAGAATTTGGTAGAAAGGGGCGCCGGATTCGTGTTGAGTGGACTAAGGTAGGTGGTAATAATAAATTGCATTAGTTGTTACTAAATGTGATGATTATGATGCTACATCATGTACTTTAAAGCATGACACTTGGGGATCAAAGTATTGTATATGATATTCTTGTTATAAGTCATTCTGGGAAGATTCTCTTCATTTTGTTTGATTTTGATGACAGTGTGTGATTTCTAATGAGGATAGCCATACTTTCAGTGCATGTTCTCATTTGTTGACCCTTGCATGTTCATTGTGCTTGTAGCTGCTGTTTATTTTCATTGCTTTTATTTTTTTTTGGGTTTGCATTATTCAGCTTATTCTGGATAATTGTTCAGATTTTAACGTTTACAAATCGTGATTATGTTATGATTTGTAGCAAGAACGTGACAGTAGAAGGCCAGGTGATTCAAGAAAATCTTCAACAAATACGAAACCATCCAAGACTTTGTTTGTTATAAATTTTGATCCAGTTCACACCAGGACAAGGGATTTGGAGAGACACTTTGATCCCTATGGGAAAATATTGAATATAAGGATCAGAAGGAATTTTTCTTTTATTCAGTATGAATCCCAGGAGGATGCTACTAGAGCTTTGGATGCAACTAACCTAAGGTTGTATTTACCTTCTCAATTGTCGGCTAGTCCCCTCCCCCTTGAAGTTTTATACCTTAGAAATACTCTAGATTCCAGTGCCTTAAATAAAGAAGGTATAGGGATGAGGGCCAGCAGATATATATGTGCTAATGGTTCATTAGTTTAAGCCTCTTAGATTGTTTTATATCTGATGTGCAGCAAGTTTATGGATCGTGTTATCACTGTGGAGTATGCTATAAGAGATGATGATGACAGAAGGAATGGATATAGTCCTGATAGAAGAGGTAATGACTCCCCTGATGGAAGATATGGTCGTGGCAGATCCCCAAGTCCATATCGTAGAGGTAGAGGTAGCCCAGATTATGGTCATGGATCAAATCCAGCTTCCAGACCAGAACCAAGAGGAAGCCCCAAGTATGAACGTGCTGAAAGCCCAATAAATGGGAGATATGACAGGTTTGATCTAATTAAATTAAGCTACTGCTTGTTTTTTTTTTTTTTTTTTTCCCTTTCTTATAGTAATTTTTGGTGGCATTATTGACTATTTTACTGTTGATACAGCCGGTCTCCCCCACCCCGAGATAGGTCGCGATCCTGAGGAGAAGCTGAATAGAACTGTCTGAAATTCTTGTTAGACCATTTTCATTTTATTATTAGCTTATTTTAGTCCATACTTTGGCGGCAAAAAACTCGAACTTGCTTATTGTATTTACTGTTACGTTCGGTTAGAACCTTAATGCGCAATGTGCAAAGATATTATGTTAGATATTAATGTGTTGCTCAAGTTTTATGATCTTTCTTCTTTCAAAAGCTTTATCTAAACCGAGGCTAAGTTCTCATCCTTGTTGCTTGATGTTCTTGATCATATTACATGGATAAAAAGCTTTGAGCCTTATTTTGTAACTTTCATAGGTTCAATCTTGTAGAGTTTTGAGCTAACATACTCGTATATTCTGTTTCTACTTTCTATATTTGCTTTTAGATTATCAATTTAAATCTTGGATTTTGTTCGATAGTGTAATTTTTTAAGTTTTGACTTAGCAGTTATGGTGTTCATTTGTTTGTTCTTTTGATTTGATGCAACTGTGTAATGTCATGTGCGTCGGGTCATGCTACTTATGTAGCCGTCGTCCGCAACGTTGGTTCATTGGGGCTGTACAGCGTATCGATTGCTGTTCGGGTGATAATTCTGTGGACCGATTTTGGTCTTAGATTCTTTAATTTTTATTCATTTATTATAAGTATAAAGTTAGGGTTTTATTAATCTCCTTTTACATAAGATAAGTATTTTATATTGTAGAGAGAAACTATGTGGGTCCCACCATTACAAGAAAAAAAGAAAAAGAAAGTGAGGTGCGGAAATCGAAGTGAGAGAAAATGAGATAAGCTACCTCATATAAAAGGAGACTAATATTTTCTATAAAGTTATTCTGGCATGTTCTTTCAAGCACTAGTACGACTTTGGCTGTGTACAACATGTACTTTGGAAAAAAATTGATAACAAAATTGGGTCTCCTGTTTTAAGAATTTTTTTTTCACCTGACTTCATTCAAATTAGAGATTTTTTAGAAAAATTAAAAAAATCATTCTAGTTGTTTATTTTCCCCCCTCAAGCTAAACATATAATTAGTCTATTTCTTAGAGTGGTAAATGAGTTCATTGAGATACAAAAATGAGGGGGGATGGAGAAGGAAGTTTGAGGGAAAGGGAGCTTGTTCCCTTCGGAACGAGGAGAAATAGGCTTTATTTTATTTTATGAATTTGCCATTTATAATTTAATTTCATGTCATTCTTTAATTTCATGGGAATGGAGTCTTTAATTGCTCTTTACCTCCGACTCCGAATTAGTTTCATAGGTGGTTCAAAGAGCCGAACATATAGAGATACTGAGATATTGACTCGTCTCAAAGAAGTAATTAAAAATTGATTATTAATTTTTTTTTTTTGTGGTAATCTATAACAACTATATTGAAATTAATCTTAATAAAATTGGATCGGCTTGGCTGAGACAACTCAGGAATCAGTTGTATAATCAATTCGAGTGAAGCAATGGACTGGTCATGCATCAAAATCGGTGACCTGACCCGGTCTTAAAAAAAAAAGTCTAATTTTTTTTTCAAAAAATAAATAAATCATAATGGACATATTTAAACACTTTTTGCTTATTGACTTACATAGGTTATGTACTTACAACTAGGGGTGGTAAACGAGCCAGGGGCCTTTGACTCGGCTCGTAAAGGCCTGAGCTCGTTTAATAAAAGCTCGTGTTGAAACCAGGCTTGGACTTGTATAAAAGTTCGTTTAATAAAAAGGCCTCAGGCTCTAATTCAGAAGCTCGGCCTTAGAGCCTCTCAGGCTAGCCTAGTATTTAAATATTTATTTATACTTTTTATACTACTTGTAATAACTCTCTCTCATCAATTTATTTCACCCCATTTTATTGGTTTAACAGACTTTTTGAATGATTTTGTTCTATATTATGTTATTTGGATATATATTGAATTTATGTATATTTATAGAATTACTAGTGCTGTTCTATATTATCCTTCATCCTCCTTCACACAAACAAAAAACTCATTCGTTCCACTGTGCACTGCTCGTTTGTGTCAATTTATTTATTTTTTTATTTATTTTATTTTTATTTTTGTTGGCACTTTTTTTACAATGGGCTAAGATAATATAACCTGTTATCTACCTTCTCTCACTTTAATTTTATTTATTTATTGTAGACTTTGTAAATTATTGCTGCAAATTGGAAGCTAAGGTTTCTATCTGGAAATTGATTTTTTGTGGAGTTCTGTTCTCTTATTTTTATTCTTTAACATGCTAACAGGCTAAGACAGGCTTCACACAGGCTTTTATTTTTTGTAAATAAACCAGGCCACAAGCCAATATTATATTCGTAACAGGTAACAGGCTAAGGCCAGTCGGACACGTTTAAATACAGGCTTGGCCCGTTAAGATCAAAGCTCGGTTCAGCTCGGCCCGTTAACACCCCTACTTACAACAACAATATTATCTTAATTATGCACTATGCAGAAAATTTTGATTTGATTTATAGTTAGAAATGTTGTTTACTAAAACTGAAGTCCCGTATCACGATCATTATATTTTTGTTTGATCTTTTATTGAATAATAATGTGTGATTTATTATTTTTTATATTAAAAAATTTGAAATTTTTATCATTTTTTTAAATATTTGAGTATGTTTATAAACTTTTAATATAAATTATAGAATTGCATATATCGAGTCATGATTGCTGGTTTCTAATGGAAGATATCTACAAGGAACATAAATGTACATGTCATCATTTCTCGTATGATTGCATCATCCGTTACATTTTATATGCGATTCAACCAATGATCTAATGATTGAACCAGTAACCGAGTATATTGATCGGGTCAATAATCGCACTAATTTTAATAACATTAATTGAAATTGTATGTTTGTATAGGAATGGAGTGGAGAGATAGTACACCTTGTTTATATTATGATGTAAGCAATGGGATTAATCATTCTCGTTTCATGTATTGTGGTGATTGTAAAAGTCACTAGTGGTCCTTGAAGAGTTCGGCGTACTTGAAAGCAATGGTTAAAAGCTCAGACCCCACTTTGAAGTTCGGAATAGCAAAAGTGGAAATATAACGCAACCAGCGAAGCTTTGGTTGCAGTGGCATACTTTAAAAGCTGCTTTTTCCTAACCTTTTTGAGCATTTTCCTTCCAATTGATTGCTCTATTCAATATAATAATTATCTCATTGTTCAATCTTGTTTTGACATACATTGAACGGATTAATATTAAAGTTTTGCTAATACTTATCATAAGCACACGATTAATTTAAGTTTATGTGGATCAATACAAAACAACTTGGGATAGTAATAACAAGTAAAGTTTTGTTCTTTCACTAATTAATTTTGTAAAATAATTCATAAAGAAATAACATTTACAAAAAGCAAAATCGCAGACAAAACACCAACACAAACGTCGTCCACATCCAATGGGACAAAATAGCTCTGTTATTAATTGCTTGCTATCTATCAAATCGGGGTTGAAGAAAAGAGGTGGATGGTGATGAGGCTACATATTGTGTGTGAAAATATAGTATCTCATATTGCGTAAGATAAAATTATTTTCTGCATATACATAAAAAAAAATAGGATTCACTTATTTTTTTTCCTCCTTTTGGATTCTGTCCATTATTTTGTGTATTGCATGAGATAATTTTGTCTCATAACTATATACTATAGGGATTGATAGATCTAGTTTTGATATCTTTGTTAAAATACCTTGTGGATTTGCATGGTTTCTAATCAGAGGGATTAAACGGAAATTCCAATGATGATTTATTATTGTTACTCCGTAATACTTGTAGTTTTAGATAGATGAATCCGATTTATTAATTTTTTAATTCATAATAAATGTTCTTATATTATTTCTTAATTATGTAGTTTCATATTATATATAATTCAATTAAACAAAATGAATTTTATGATTATAACATATAGATAATAAATATTGCATTGCGAGTTTACGACACTAGAGCTCAATCTTGTGGAAACCTAAAGAATAATATATTTAATTAAAAAATACTTAAATAATATTATGTTATTATTTAATTTAAATAAGTTTAACGGGTGAATTCTACTAAGATTATTATTTTATATAGGACATTTTTGAAGCGTGTTTTGTTTAAAAAATTAGATTTACTGCCTGACCTTTTGTAACCAAAAAATATAAGATTAGATATTCAAGTGTAATTTTATTTTTCATTAATAGAATTGAGTGTTTTCCACGCTTAAGTCTTACAAAATCTAAACCCTAGCATATGAATCATATGATCACAATAAGAAAACTATTCAAAATATCTAATTGTGTTTTTCGGATTCTTGTCAATTTAATTTGGGGTGGAAAACTCTTGTTAAGACAAAGTCAACAGAGACTAAAAAAAGCGTGCGTAAATGATTTGTTCAATCATTTTTGCATGCATTTGTAATTTCTCCGCTAATCGCGAACACTATGTATAGCATCAAGCCACGTCTCCTAACTAATTGAATTCAAAACTCTAATGTTCAAATTTATACTAAAAATAATGAATGCAATTTTTTTTTTTTTTTTTTTTATCTTTTTGCAAAGTAATCTTGGTTCATTTATACTATAGCTTATTCATATTGTTTTTATTATTGTGGAAACGATTTAACGTACTATGCCCTCATGTTTCTAAATTATTCAACTAATTTAAACATATTTCCAAATTTAATATCCAACAAATTCTAGAAAATTTTGAATCAAAAGAATAAGCTTCTAACAGTATATTTATGCTTGAAAGTTAGGCAAACTTTTTTTTTTATTTATCATTTTCGATCATTGAATATATTTTATCAAGTAATATCCGGCTTTTTTACCTTTATAACCTTTTATTAATAATTAATTACCAAATTGACCTTCATTATAAACTATTTCAAAAATTTAACCTCCCCAACAAACATAACACCAATCTGCCCCTGTTTGACCGTTGACCACCAAGTCTACCCGGGTACTCCCCTCCCTACCCGGGTATTTTTTGAAATTTTTGCCTACCCGGGTAGGGAGGGGTGTACCCGGGTAGAGTTCTTCAATCTGGAAAAATAGTTGAATTATTTACCCGGGTACATAGGAGTGTACCCGGGTAAATCTCCACCAGAAACCCCAAAACCCCTCCTAGATCTCTGCAGCAGCCAACAGACATACAATTTACAAAATCGGTTTCTCCTCCTTATCTTCATCTTATGTTAATTTTTTTATCCCATCTTCCCACGGTATTGT